CAGTTGCCTGCCCAGCAGGGGAAGAGAAAAAATCTGATACAGTGGTACCTCAGGTTACATACGCTTCAGGTTACAGACGCTTCAGGTTACAGACTCCGCTAACCCAGAAATAGTACCTCGGGTTAAGAACTTTGCTTCAGGATGAGAACAGAAATCGCGCGGCGGGAGGCCCCATTAGCTAAAATGGTGTCTCAGGTTAAGAACAGTTTCAAATTAAGAATGGACCTCCAGAACGAATTAAGTACGTAACTGTTAAGTTGTGGGTGAACATATCAGACGACACAGCGATTCTTCAAACAGCTCTTGTTTATTCACAGGCCAGAACAGAACTGAATTGAAGGGTTCAGTCAACCTGCTACCTGCTTATATAGAGCTCCAGTACAACGTAACTGTAACAATTTTCTAAAACTATCCAATCACTGAACGTCACTTTCGATCCCTTATTTGCATAACTATCTACAGTATCCCCCTGCTGGCCCAGGATGAGAACTTCAGTACATAACAGTAACCAGAGGTACCACTGTGTAGCATTTCAATGAAGTGAAACCCCCTTGAACCATAGAAATCAATGCAGAAATGCAAGAATTGCACATACCTCCTGGGGCTGGGAATAAATGTCTATATCTCAACCCTTTTATTTAAAATGCATCTCTGGGTTATTTGTGGGTCATAGGAATTTGTTCATTTTTTTTTCTTTCCCAAATATAGTCCGGCCCCCCACGAGGTCTGAGGGACAGTGGACCAGCCCCCTGCTGAAAAAGTTTGCTGACTCCTGTTGTTGGTCTACAACTCCATTTGCCCCAGCCAACATGGTCAGTGATCAGGGATGATGGGGGCTGTGGTGCAATGTCTGGAGGGCAACAGGTGCTCCATCCCTGGACTAGATGAATCTATCTGATCCAGCAGGCTCCTCTAACTCTCTCTACCACCTTGTGTCATACCAAGACTGTCTTATTTTATTTGGTCCCTGTGTCTTGAACTAGCTTTTTAAAAATCACTTTTATTAAATTTTACAATTTAAAGTCCTCCTTTTTACATCCTTAAGATATCAATGACTTCCCTTCTTCTCTTTCCATGGTTCATTTTACATATAAATCCCTGCATATTTTACAAAAACTATACCATACAGTATTCCATTATTAAAAAAGGTAAAGGACCCCTGACAGTTAAGTCCAGACACGAACCACTCTGAGGTTGTGGCGCTCATCTCGCTTTACAGGCCGAGGGAGCCAGCGTTTGTCCGCTCCGCAGACAGTTTTTCCAGGTCATGTGGCCAGCATGACTAAGCCGCTTCTGGTGCAACAGAACACCGAAACCAGAGCAGCGCACAGAAACACCATTTACCTTCCCACCGGAGCGGTACCTATTTATCTAGTTGCACTTTTTGGGGTGTTTTCAAACAGCTAGGTTGGCAGGGGCTGGGACCGAGAAACGGGCGCTCACCCTGTCATGGGGATTCGAACCACCGACCTCCTGATCAGCAAGCCCAAGAAGCTCAGTGGTTTAGACCACAGCGCCACCCGCGTCCCCAATTCCATTATTACCTCCATCAAAACTTATTTACACTGTTGAATTTATCTTAATGCTGCCAGCATTTTCAGCTGTACACAGTTATTTCTCATATATTCAATAAATGTTTTCCAATCTATCTGTGCACCATGTACAACTAACAAACTGTAGTTTAGTAAATTCTGTAATGCATTTATTAAATTGTTTCTGGATATGCTACAAGATTATTTATAGGAGAAATGTAAAAACCTGGATTTCTCTCGTTGCTTCTGCTACTACTATCAAGGTGCAACTAAGTGGTCTACTAGAACTGATTATCCACTACAATAAAACAAAGTAAATATGATACAGTCTTTGTGTGTGTGTGTGTGTGTGTGTGTGTGTGTGTGCGCACACACACACACATACCACATCTTTCCTGCTTTTGTGGATTGTTAACTTCTTATCCTAGGATGGTTACACAACAAATAGGTGGTTTTAAATTACTGGTAGGGGTGTTTTCTTCTGTTACGTAAATACAGCTCACTGGAGTTTCAGACTGAGTAAACAAGGTAAGAAATCTGCTCAGAAGCAACACTGACTAAAAGCCCACAGGGATTAAAAATAAATAAATCTTAATGTTACACAAATTGCACAACAAAGGCCTTGCTCACATAAAATACAGAATGACGTAACAGGCAACACAAGGGACAGAGTGGAACTACAGTTAACATGTGGCTTCTGCTAAACATGGCATCCCCGTGTGAAATCTTTTCCTCACTTTTGTAAGATCACTTACCCTGTGTTGCTGTGGCTAAGGATGGAAAGACCTGCCAAATTTTGTTCTCTTGGCTTATCATTTTTCCAATCTCAAATTCAGTTTCCCCCATTTCTGCAGCAATTTGATAGTTGTTGTTTTTTTTAAAAAAGCAAAGCAAAACAAAATTAATGATCATGAACCGCATTTATTGGTTCTGTGAAACACCCTGAGACTACTGGGTATAGGGCGATATAGAAAGTCAATAAATAATAAAATAAGAGTAATGAAAACTTGTCAGAATTTTAGGGTGCGTTTCTCCTAATAAACACAGGGGTTTTTGTACGCAGTTTTGCCTAACACACACACATTTTTGTAAAACAATTTCCCCCAATATTATGCATCTCTGTATTTTATTTTCACTGGTGGATGCAATTACTTAGGTGGAGAACTGTGTTGCAAATTTCAAGGAATGGCTATGTTTTAGGAAAATGCGGATTTGGTAGGTTCAGCTTTGAATGTGAACAGGCACCGTGGCATTGTGTTTTCCCTGTCTTCATCCCTCATCACTGGCTGACACCAGTGGTGACAGGGTGGGTCTGGGAGACACATTATGTGATGATGCCGCAACAAAGAACTAGTTATTATTCAATTGATTCTCCATGTAAGGGAAGAGACAAAGACAAAAAACGGAGATACAGTTTTTCAGTAGCAGCCCTATCTGGAACCTTTGTAGAGAGAGCATTTCAAAGTTGAGTTACCACCACAGAAAAGGCCTTGTAGATACATAATGCACTTCATCAACTGATGGCACTCAGAGAAGGATCTCATTTAAAGAATTTAATGCATGAGCAAGCTTGTATGGTCTGAGGCATTCCTTCAGGTATTTGGGTCCCAGGCCATGTAAGGCTTTTTTTCAAAAAAAATATTTTATTAAGGATTTTCTTGTTTTACAGAAGTGTAGTGCCTCGTATTTTTTTTTCATGTAACATTTTTACAAATCCGTTTCATTTGTTGAGGCATTAGGGGGAGAAGAAAAAAGAAAAGAAAAAAGAAAGGGGGGGTGGAGAGAGGGAAGATGGATAGGGGTGGGGTCGGGTGGCGGTGTTTCTATTATGTTTAATGTATGTAGAGTTTGGTGTCAGCGTTGCTTGTGTTGTTCACTTGTGTTCCTTTGGTGGTGAGAGAGGTTGGGGTTGGCCTAGGGTGTGATTGTTTGCTTGTGATTGGCTGTGGTGATCTTTGTTTTCGTGTGTGAGTGAGGTGGGTGGGTGTTTTGGATCAGGTTAGCCATATTGATTTGTATGCTGTTGGTGGATTATTGTCATTGTCCTGTTGGGCTGTGTATGTGATAAAGGGAGCCATACCGGGGTGAAGGCGTCTTCTTCTGTTTGTCCCGTGTCAGTTTCAGTTTATTAGTTAATTTTTCTAGTAGGGCTGTTTCCCATACTATTTGGTACCATTGGTCCATGCTTACTCCTGACAGGTCTCTCCAGTGTCTGGTTATGGTGTTTCTGGCTGCTGAGAGCAGGTGGGTTATGAGTTCTTTGTGGTGTAAATGGGCATTGTTGTCTTGGAAGATGTTTAGTAGGGCCAATTCTGGGGTGATGTCTATTACTTGCTTAGTTATTTTACATATTTCTCGTATGGCTGTTGTCAAGAATAGTTGGATTTTGGGACACTCACCACATGTGGAGGTATGTGCCTGTGGAGGTGCACCCTCTCCAGCATTTTGGTGTGGTTCCTGGGTGTATTAGCGCTAGCCATGTAAGGCTTTAAAGCAGGTCTTGGCGTCGCAAGAGGCGTGCAGGGGGCGCGGTCCGCCCCAGGTGTCATGCCGGGGGTGTGTGACAAAATCCCCCCCGAGTGGATCAGAGTGGCGGCGCTCACACCCCTGGCAGGCAGATTTTCGCAATTGTGATTATACAACCTTTAGAAGACATCTGAAGGTAGCCCTGTATAGGGAAGTTTTTAAATATTTAATAATAATAATAATAATAATAATAATAATAATTTATTTATACTCTGCCCATCTAGGCGGCTTCCAACCAAATATTAAAAACAATACAGTGGTACCTCAGGTTACAGATGCTTCAGGTTACAAACGCTTCAGGTTACAGACTCCGCTAACCCAGAAATAGTGCTTCAGGTGAAGAACTTTGCTTCAGGATGAGAACAGAAATCGCACGATGGCAGCGGGAGGCCCCATTAGCTAAAGTGGTACCTCAGGTTAAGAACCGTTTCAGGGTAAGAACGGACCTCCAGAACAAATTAAGTTCTTAACCCAAGGTACCACTGTACAGGGTCAGACATTAAAAACTTCCCTAAACAGGGCTGCCTTCAGTTGTCTTTTAAAAATAAAATAGTTGTTTATTGCCTTGACATCTGATGGGAGGGAGTTCCACAAGGCAGGCGCCACTACCGAGAAGGCCCTCTGCCTGGTTCCCTGTAACCTCACTTCTTGCAGCAAGGGAACATAATGTTTTATTATGTTTTCATATATGTTGGAAGCTGCCCCGAGTGGCTGGGACAACCGAGTCAGATGGGCATGGTAAAATAATAATAATAATAATAATAATGGAATGGGACATCCCTATTTTTATCAGAGAATGGAAGCTACCTCATTTGCAGTCTGACCACTGTTCCACCTTGCCTAGCACTTGGTCTCAGGATGAGATTTGTTTGGATTTGTTTGGATACAGGTGATGAAATGTGGAACCTGATACATGCACAGCACGTGCCCTTTCCGAGAGCTATGGCCCTGCCCGCAAGAGCACTCAGCACCAATCTTAATAAGAGGTTAGACATTCTTTTAATTAGATCTCAGCACTGTGGTTGAGTGGCAGGAAGGTGTGTTCACTGATGATACAGGAAATAGGAAATGAGACCAAAAAAATAACCCATTGCAGGCATGCATGCCATTCTTCTTAATTGTTTTTGTGATCCATCTTTCACGAGGAGCAGAAGGCTTTTGAGCCTCACAACAATGCTATGAAGAAGGATGGACTAAGGCAGACCAGGTGAGCTTCATAGCTGACCAGTGATTGGAACCTGGGTTTCCCACATTCTGGTCTAGGAGCCTAGTCGCTGCATCACATTTGCTTTCACTAGTAAATGCCACAGAGAGAAAGAGAGCTGCTTAAGGCTGTATACACACACTAGGTAAAGGTAAAGGGACACCTGACTGTTAGGCCCAGCTGCGGACGACTCTGGGGTTGTGGTGCTCATCTTGCTTTACTGCCTGAGGGAGCCGGTGTACAGCTTCCGGGTCATGTGGCCAGCATGGCAGGGGGTTGGACTCGATGGCCCTTGTGGTCTCTTCCAACTCTATGATTCTATGATTCTATGACTAAGCCGCTTCTGGCGAACCAGAGCAGCGCATGGAAACGCCATTTACCTTCCCGCCAGAGCAGTACCTATTTATCTACTTGCACTTTGACGTGCTTTTAAACTGCTAGGTTGGCAGGAGCTGGGACAGAACAACGGGAGCTCACCCCGTCGTGGGGATTCAAACCACCGACCTTCTGATCAGCAAGCCGTAGGCTCTGTGGTTTAGATTACAGCGCCACCCACGTCCCTTGTGTACACACACACTACTGTACCTTTAAGAATAATAATTTTATTATTTATACCCCACCCACCTGTCTGGGTTTCCCCAACCACTCTGGACACCTTCCAGCAAGATTCTCTCAAATAATTCTGGGCTTGTAGTCTCTACTTTACTGACCCTTGATACGAGATGTATTTGTTATTTATTTGTTTGGTGCATTTATAGCTTGCCCTTCGCCAAATTGTCCAAGGATGGGGTTTTACCATAATCAAAAGGTAAAATGCGGAACATAAAAACACTAATATAAATCTGCATGGCAGCAAGGAGGGACGAAAACAGTCAAAGGAGTCATTTCACTTAAATCAGGGATGGGAAGCCTGTGGCAAAAGTTGATGGACTTCAATACCCAGAAGTCTCAGCCAACAACATGGCCAGTGCTCAGCGATGGGAGTCAAACTTCTGTAGCTTTTGGAGGGCCGCGGTTTCCTCAACCCTGATTTAAATGAAATGACTCGTCCCTTGCTAAGCATGTTCATTTGGAAATGGTGCCATCAATATCAATGGGACTCCTTTCTTCCCAGGTCAGTGTAATTAGGTGTAATTTATCATTTATGTGTGGGCAAGTGTTTGTGTACTTGCCTGGTTTCCTCATTGAAACTTGATCCAGTGACATACGTTGTCCTCTTCCACCAAGAAGTGTGCTGTGTTTGCCCTCTGCTGGCAAAACTACAAGGTTGCACAGGAAAGATCCTGCCTCACTTCTGCGTTTCTGTTTCTAAATCTTTCCAGAAATTGATTAGGAAGGCTTCCCGTTGTCACAAACAAGAAATGTTCGCAATTTATTTTCCCGTGTGACCAACATTGCTCACTTTTATTAACTGTTAACGATATGGTAAAAATAAAACCTCTGTTCTATAGCAACAAACTATCCCATTTTTTGTTTTGTCTAAGCAGGCATTTTGTGCACGTGTGAAGTGCTGCAGATAATCTTGCAAGGAGGAGTTACCAGCTGCATACTTCCTAGGATTTCAAAGCGAAATGTGAGGTTGGTGTATTCATTTATTCCTTCTCCGATTCAAAAGCCATAGGGTGTTTGTTTGGGGAAGGGCACAACATCTATAGATAGCCGACACCTATGAACCTGCCCATGTTTTAAGATCAGTTTGCGAGACCCTCCTTGGGTGCCTGCCATTAAGATCCATTAGGGTGGTGGGCACTATAGGCAGGGCCTTCTCAGTGCTGGCTCCCACCCAACATATACAGCTAGTTCCTTCATTTCAGGTTTTATACAAAGTTCTGAAAACTAATCTGTTTTTGTCCTTGGCTGTTTAAAATTATTTATCTATTTATTTTTGAAATAAAGAGAGTACAAAAGTACAAAATCAGCTGTCATACATTAATGTTATATCCATATCAATGGTTACAATTCAGTTTTGCTCCATCTTCGAACTGATGGGAAATGAAGAAAAGAATGCACCTGCCTCCCACAAGAAAAACAGCAGACATTTATATCCATGTGATCCAGGAAACAAAAAGTTCAACATCCAATTTGGGTTAAGTAAAAACTCTAAATAAACAATGACTCTTTCCTTTTCCCCCTGCCCCCAAAACCAATGCATGTATCCAAGAAATACGACTCAGGAATGCAAATGGAAGTTTCATGGTGTGCAATTTTGTGTGGTATGTGAGCAGTGCCAGATTTACGTACAGTGGTACCTCGGGTTACATATGCTTCAGGTTACATACGCTTCAGGTTACAGACTCTGCTAACCCAGAAATATTACCTCGGGTTAAGAACTTTGCTTCAGGATGAGAACAGAAATCGTGCTCCGGCAGCACAGCGGCAGCAGGAAGCCCCATTAGCTAGAGTGGTGCTTCAGGTTAAGAACAGTTTCAGGATAAGAACAGACCTCCAGAACAAATTAAGTTCTTAAGTCAAGGTACCACTGTATAAGCTAAACAAGCTATAGTTTAGGGCTCCACTCTCTTTGGGCCCCCCAAAAAATTAAAGGAAAAAAACCCTGGATGTACATTTCCAAAATCTAAGATAAAAAACAACCAAAATAAAACCTACATACAGCAGCAGTGTTATGTGTTGTGTAGGCTCCTATGATGTAAGCAATGGGCCCCGCCTGCTAGCCTGCTCCCTAAAATATCACATATAAAGGGCCCCATTACCCTCAGTAGCTTAGGGCCTCATCAAACTTAAATCCAGCCCTGTATGTGAGAGATAACAAAGAAAAGAAAAATGGGTTACAAATAAGAAAAAGTCAATCCCTCAGAATTCTAGCATAAAATTCTGCTTAAAAACCTCCAAGGAGATTCCACCACCTTCTTCGGAAATCCATTCCACTGTCAAACAGCTCTGTCTCACTGTCATAACATCTATGCTATGTTTTTGTTATGGATTGGGCTCTGCCTACTGGTTCTCTTTCTGACTCCAGATTTTTGTGGGACGGCACTGCTCCTTTTCTTGCAGCCTCTTGCACTGCAGGAGTTTGGACTAGATGACCCTTGTGGTCCCTTCCATTTCTACAATTCTAAGATTAACAACACAGTTCTAATCATGTCTACTCAGAAGTGAGTCCTATTAGCTTAAGCTTTACCTTTACTCAGAGGTCGTTGTGCTAGGTTTGCAGCCTTGTTGTTGTTGTTGTTTAGTCGTTTAGTTGTGTCCGACTCTTCATGACCCCATGGACCAGAGCACACCAGACACTCCTGTCTTCCACTGCCTCCCACAGTTTGGTCAAACTTATGTTAGTAGCTTCGAGAACACTATCCAACCATCCCATCCTCTGTCATCCCCTTCTCCTTGTGCCCTCCATCTTTCCCAACATCAGGGTCTTTTCCAGGGAGTCTTCTCTTCTCATGAGGTGGCCAAAGTATTGGAGCCTCAGCTTCAGGATCTGCCCTTCCAGTGAGCACTCAGGGCTGATTTCCTTCAGAATGGAGAGGTTGGATCTTCTTGCAGTCCATGGGACTCCCAAGAGTCTCCTCCGGCACCATATTTCAAAAGCATCAATTCTTCGGCCATCAGCCTTCTTGATGGTCCAGCTCTCACTTCCATACATCACTACTGGGAAAACCATGGCTTTAACTATACGGACCTTTGTTGGCAAGGTGATGTCTCTGTTTTTTAAGATGCTGTCTAGGTTTGTCATTGCTTTTTTCCCAAAAGCAGGCGTCTTTTAATTTTGTGGCTGCTGTCACCATCTGCAGTGATCATGGAGCCCAGGAAAGTAAAATCTCTCACTGCCTCCATTTCTTCCCCTTCTATTTGCCAGGAGGTGATGGGACCAGTGGCCATGATCTTCGTTTTTTTGATGTTGAGCTTCAGACCATATTTTGCGCTCTCCTAGGCATCAGCTATGTTTAAACCACTAGGTGTCAGTATCAACATTTTAGATGCCTTGACAACCAGGCAACTGGGATTTCCCAGGCTCGGAAAGTATGCAGAGCTTTCCTTCCCCCTCTGCAAAGATTCACTGAGCTTAGTCAAACAGAGATCTCATGCTGTACTATAAGAATGAGTTCCCTGGGGAACGAGCTTGAAGCTTACGGCAAAACTTTCCTCCAAGGTATGCATAGCAAAATGCCCCAAACTACCAAGCAAAGGTTCCAATGGAAGAGCTTGTCTGGGGACTATAAATTGTGCAGGTTGGTTTGAGAGATTTGCCCGAATTAAATAACAGGAACAGAGACACAATTTATGTGACTCTACTACATTCCGTTTCCTAGCTTTGTTTTCGTGAAAGGCATCCTTTGTTGTATTTGCATCCAGAATTGAAGTTCTTTTTTATTCATGCCTAGTAATCAGGCCATCAATAAACAAAAGGTTTAAGAGAACTGCATAGCCATATCAAATTGGCAAAAGTTAAAATAAGCATAAACAGCACACAAGCAACAAAAGTTAAAACAGATAAACTGAACAAATGTTTATCTACAATTAGATAAAAGCAAAATTAGCCTTAGTGGTGTCCTTTAAGAATTTGGCAAGGAGGAAAAGGATGGGGGGCATAACTAGAATGAGTTTGGCTTTGGCGCCACCTACTGGTGACCTCCATTCTTTTTGCCCTACCAGTCCCAATGGACACCAATCCCCACTGCATCCAATGAGCAACAGATATTCATTAAACCTATTCCCTGCTTTCCAGCCAAGAATGGCTCCCGAAGCAGCTTACAGTTAAAATCCAAACGTACAATATAACTTGGAATGTATTGGTGTGGGTGTGGGTATGAACCTATCAGTCCTGATGGACACCAGCTGCCACCACAACACCCGGTTGGCTATGCCACTGGATTTGCTTTCTTCTGTGTTGTTAGAAGACTATCTCTTTTTCCAGCCAGGTCATTACTGCTTTATAGTACATTTACTGAGCATTTCCTACATTAGGAATTTAGAGAAGCATATAGAAATTTAATAAATTCAGCCCAGACACTGAGGTCCAGCACCAAAGGCCTTCTGGTGGTTCCCTCACTGCAAGAAGTGAAGCTACTGGAAGCCAGGCAGAGGGCCTTTTTGGTGGTGGCACCTGCCCTTTGGAACGCACTCCCATCAGATGTCAAGGAGATAGGTAACTATATAACTTTTAGAAGACATCTGAAGGCGGCCCTGTATAGGGAAGCTTTTTAATGTTTAATGTTTTATTATGTTTTTATATATGTTGTAAGCTGCTCAGAGTGGCTGGGGCAACCCAGTCAGATGGATGGGGTAGAAAATAATAAGAATAAGAATAATTCTGCTGAGGCAGTGGGGGGAGAGGAATGGAACCAGGGGGTCTCAAGATAAACCGTGGAAAAGTCGGCCAAGCCTGCTTTTGGCTTGCAGATCTTTGTACTAAACATCTGCAGTGCTAAGAAGTCCTTTTCAGAAAGAAGACACAGAACAGTCCCACCCACAGACCTGCTGCTGAGAGAGAGAAAGGCAATAATCAAAATGATTCAGAAAAAGACTCAGGAAAGGACATGAGTATGAGTCATAGATAGACTCAGGATGACTGTGTTAGCTGAGCTGTTCTCCTAAACCTTCAAAATCCTGTGATGATTTCAGCGCTGAGTAAAAGAAAATGCTGGTAGTCAAATTTCTGTTGGTGTGAAATTTCTACATTCTGAATTGTATGGTCCTATGGGAAAGCTACACATCCCCTTGGTAAAGGCAAGTTTTTATTTTAAAAAAAAAAAGAATAAAATTTAATTTGTTTTGCTTTAGGCCAAATGACATATTGCGTTAACTACATATCTGTTGCTGTATCCAATGTGGCACTAAGCAACCTTCCTGTCACTGCAAGGATTTAAACTTGCACAATAGGACTCCTCCTGCTGCCCCCTCACATTCCACACCCTCTCCAAATCTGCTCTGGAGGGTTTATAATAATAATAATAATTAATAATTTTATTATTTATAGCCTGCCCATCTGGCTGGGTTTCCCCAGTCACTCTGGGCGGCTTACAGCATATAAACATAATAAAAACATCAAGCATTAGAAATCTCCCGATACAGGGCTTGGGAGGAAACCGCCAGAACAGATTTTAGGAGCGCATGAGAGGACAGGACGAGAAAGGGCATTGATGGAATGGCTCCACAGTGTTACAGTGACTACAAGTCTGTGATTTTAAGTGCCGGCAGGGACTTGCCTTGGGATGCGGGTGGCGCTGTGGTCTAAACCACTGAGCCTCTTGGGCTTGCCAATCAAAGGTCACGGTTTGAATCCCCCCCCACGAGGTGAGCTCCTGTTGCTCGGTCCCTGCTCCTGCCAGCCTAGCAGTTCGAAAGCACACCAAAAAGTGGAAGTAGATAAATAGGTAATACTCCGGCGGGAAGGTAAACAGCATTTCTGTGTGCTGCTCTGGTTTCGGTGTTCCGTTGCGCCAGAAGCAGCTAGTCATGCGGGCCACATGCCCTGGAAAAACTGTCTGTGGACAAACGCCGGCTCCCTCGGCCTGTAAAGCGAGATGCAACGATGCCTTATGAGGAACGGCTAAGGTAGCTGGGCATGTTTAGCCTGGAGAAGAGGAGGTTAAGGGGTGATATGATAGCCATGTTCAAATATATAAAAGGATGTCACATAGAGGAGGGAGAAAGGTGGTTTTCTGCTGCTCCAGAGAAGCGGGCACGGAGCAATGGATCCAAACTACAAGAAAGAAGATTCCACCTAAACATTAGGAAGAACTTCCTGACAGTAAGAGCTGTTCGACAGTGGAATTTGCTGCCAAGGAGTGTGGTGGAGTCTCCTTCTTTGGAGGTCTTTAAGCAGAGGCTTGACAACCATATGTCAGGAGTGCTCTGATGGTGTTTCCTGCTTGGCAGGGGGTTGGACTCGATGGCCCTTGTGGTGTCTTCCAACTCTATGATTCTATGATTCTATGAACTCCAGAGTGGTTCGCGTCTGGACTTAACTGTCAGGGGTCCTTTACCTTTTTAAATAATGGAATACTGTACGATATAGTTTTTGTAAAATATGCAGGGATTTATATGTAAAATGAACCATGTGACTTTTATCAGTTTCTTTCCTTTATATTTATTTTGTATTTTATTTTTTGATTAAAAAAAAAAGAAACCCAATTATCTTTAAAGCTATTTTTTATCCATTTAAATTTAATTAGAATTTTAAGTGAAGAGTGCCTGTGTCCATTCAGGTCCATGATTCTAGAATGATCATGGGCTGGTTCCATTCAAAATGGAGAGTTTATGTCTAGCCAATGTGGCGTTATGTGACTAAACCATTCCCAACCCCAACCCCCCTCACAAGCATAAAACCACAACCTCAAGGGTTTAATTGTTCAGGAGGAAGTGACTGGGCTTTGAATAAGGTGGGGGAATGACTATTATGTAGAAGTGGAAATATTTCATTCTGAGCTCATTTTCAAAAGTAGCATCTGAAAAGGTTTTTGGTTAAGAGAAACAGAGCTGGATATGAAATTGGTACTCTAGGCCCATCTGCAGTACAGTGCAGATTTAAAGCAGTATCATGCCACTTCAAGCACTCATGGCTTCTCCCAGAGAATCCTGGGAACTGTAGTTTGAGAGTTCTTAGAAGAATCCTATTCCCCTCCATAGCTAATTCTCAGAGTTCCCTGGGAAGAGGACTAGGCTCTGGGAGTTTTAAAAGATAAAGGTAAAGGGACCCCTGACCGTTAGGTCCAGTCGTGGACGACTCTGGGGTTGCGGTGCTCATCTCACTTTACTGGCCAAGGGAGCCGGCATACAGCTTCCGGGTCATGTGGCCAGCATGACGAAGCCGCTTCTGGCGAAACCAGAGCAGTGCATGGAAACGCCGTTTACCTTCCCGCCGAAGTGGTACCTATTTATCTACTTGCACTTTGATGTTCTTTCGAACTGCTAGGTTGGCAGGAGCAGGGACCGAGTAACGGGAGCTCACCCCGTCGCGGGGATTTGAACCGCTGACCTTCTGATTGGCAAGTCCTAGGTTCTGTGGTTTAGACCACATATTATGGCCCTCCAGATGTTGCTGAACTACAGCTCACATCATCTCTGGTCATTGGCCATGCTTGCTGGGGCTGAAGTTGTAAATTCAGCGACATCTGGAGGCCCAATGGTTTTCCACACCTGGTTAGCGGATTGGACTAGCGCTGGAGTAACCATGATTAAAATCCTCACTCAGCCACTAAATTCATTTTGTGACCTTCAACCAGACCTTAGCTTAATCTACCTCACAGGATTGCTGAGACCACAAAAATGGTGGTGAAGAGAAATATGTTCTCTGAGGGAATGCTGGGATAAAAACACATATACTTAATATAATTATCTTATATAATTTACTTACTATACATATAATACTAAATCATCCAAGGGTCCTTCACCTTTACCTATAATACATATAACCCGACCATACCTTATTCACACTGCAATCAAAGTAAAAAATCATGTTTATTTTGAAGTAAATCTCAGTGAGTTTAATAGAGCCCCCACCTTTTCATAGGAATGCAGTCTTGACAGTCCAGTCCCAAAGGCGCTGAATAAGAAGAAAAGTCCCATTAAGCTTATTGAGATTTACTTTCATGGAAGCAGGCTGTCAGGAGCAAGCCAGCAATAAATCACATGGGGTAAGTGAAGTTAATTCTTTATTAAAAGAAACAGGATCTGCTCAGGAGTATCAGGTCTAATGAGCACAGCAGCTCTTCTCTGTAGGTTTTACCCCTTTGAGGAAATTGTGGAGGCCCACAGTAGCCAAAGGCTCCTCCTCTCCTCTTCTGCCACTCTCAAATGTTTTTTTTGGGGGGGGGGTTGAACCCTAAGTTGTGGAATTCCCTCCCCACAAAGATGCACCTGGCACCTTCACTGTACAGTACAACATTTAGTGAATGTTGAAAACACACCTCTTTATCCTTGCATCTGATGCCTGAGCAGTGTCAGAAACTGAGATAAATGGCACCTTAAACCTAGGTTATGGGCGCAACAACGGAATGTCTAGGTGCTCTTTTTTAGGTATGCCCCACGGAGGACCTTAAGGTCCATAAATAGCAACACCCTAGTGTTCCGGGCCCTAAGGAAGTTAGATTAGCCTCAACCAGAGCCGGGGCCTTCTCAACACTGGCCCCGGCCTGGTGGAATGCTCTATCTCATGAGACCAGGGCCCTGCGGGATCTGATTTCTTTCCGCAGAGCCTGTAAGACAGAGTTGTTCCGCCGGGCCTTTGGCTTAGAATCAGTTTGATTCCCACCCCCCTCTTTCTTTTTCCTTTCTCCTCCTGTGAAGAGGCTGCATCCTAATGTTTTAATGTTGTATTTTAATCTTGTTTTTTAAATTGTATTTCAATCAACTTGTTTTTATTATTGGTTGTTAGCCGCCCTGAGCCCAGTCTTGGCTGGGGAGGGCGGGATATAAATAAAATATTACTATTATTATTATTGTGTATGTATTATTATAAATTTTATTTATATGCCGCCCTCCCCAGCCGAAGCCGGGCTCAGGGCGGCTAACAACAATAAAACAGTACAAAAGTACAGCATAAACAACAGTCTAAAATCATTCGTTATAAAATTAATTAATTCAAGCCACTGGCAACCATTATTACCATTATTATTATTATACAAAGCTGAAAATGAATGAACGGCAGCTAAAATCTTATACAGTGGTACCTCGGGTTACATACACTTCAGGTTACATACGCTTCCAGTTACAGACTCCGCTAACCCAGAAATAGTACCTCGGGTTAAGAACTTTGCTTCAGGATGAGAACAGAAATCGCACAGCGGTGGCGCGGCAGCAGCGGGAGGCCCCATTAGCTAAAGTGGTGGTTCAGGTTAAGAACAGTTTCAGGTTAAGAACGGACCTCTGGAACGAATTAAGTACATAACCAGAGGTACCACTGTGCAGTCATACCTTGGGTTACTGACTCTTCAGGTTGTGTTTTTTTGGGTTACTGACCCGTCAAAACCTAGAAGTACCGGAACGGGTTACTTCTGGGTTTTGGCGGTTGCGCATGCGCAGAAACGCTGAATCGCAACCCGTGCGTGTGCAGATGCGCCGCTGCGGGTTGTGAACGTGCATCCCGCATGGATCACGTTCGCAACCCAAGCGTCCACTGTATTCATTTTTCACATGGTCTAGTCCACATCTGAAGATTGCAAAAAACAAAGCCATGCTTCCCCTGCCTGCCCCCCTAATATTCTTAAGAGGGTCTCTTCTCCAGTCTTCAGAGAGTGGCTGGAGGTGGGGAGGAAGAAAAAGCTCTTCCTTTCCTTCCACTCTGCAATTTTAATCTAAAACCTTAGACTCAGTACTGCGCCCAGAGCTCAGAAACTGCTCACGCTAATTAAATTCCTTGTCGCAAAACGCGCCTAGAACAATGTGTTATAAGAAAATTTCTCTGTCTCCTTTGTTGGGTTTCTGGAGCCCCGTATAGAGTTCCTCACGAAGGTCTCTATTGGTTGGAGAGAAGAAGCAGAGGCCAACCAGAGTATATGGAAGCAAGGCGGCCAGTAAGCCTGATCTTTATTAATAGAAATACAGTAAGCTGTTGCAAAAGGTCCCCACTCACCACAAGCAGGAGGGAGGAGAACCCAGAACAAAAGAAAACCATAATTTGTATACCTTTTGATCCACAGGCAGATCTTCCTGAGGCCTGCCCAGCAAGAACGTCAGTCGTATATCAGAAATACAGTACGTCATAGAAATATCAATAACATGCTCACAATTACTTGTTGTCTTTTGCAGGAACAAACAGTGGAGAGCACATTCCTAGGAATGTGAAAAGGAAGTACCAAAGGAGCGTCTAAGACTTGGAGTTTTTCTAGCGTAACAGTGTATAGAATGTTGTAGTTTAATGTTGAATTTTGGATATAATGGAGACGTAAAAGATTTGGATTATTATAAAAGATGCAGGAGGAAATGGTTAAGGAAAGGACCCACAAAGGGGAGGGCATCATGCAATGTTGGGTGGGGGCAGAAACACCACTTAACAGCTTATGAATCCATTGAATGGAGTGGACTGACATTGTGAACTGGTGTTATTCATTACATTTTTTAAAAAAATAAATTTTTATTAAATTTTTCCACCATAATAACACAAGCCACAAAGCAGAATAATACACAGAAACAGAAAAGGAAAAAAAGAAGAAGAAGAAAGAAAAGAAAAGAAAAAAAATGGGGGGAAGGGAGGGGGGAAAACAATAAACAAATAAACAATAATAACAAACTTAATTCTTCACAAATCCAACTTTTTAAACATCTTGATTGACTTCCTCAAATCCCTCCCTTCTGAGTTTCCTTGTAATTTAAAAGTAACAGCTTTCCAATATCATTATTAAACTAAAACAATTTCCAATTATAGTCCTCTTATTCACTTTTCTTGACATTCTGAATCCCATTTATTTAATTATAACTTAATTTGTGCTAGGCCTATTTGTTTCTTTCAAGTAATTTCAATTTTTTTATATTACAATATTTGTTCAAATAGTCCTTGAATTTCCTCCAGTCCTCTTGAAACTCCTCTTCTTTCTGGTCACGGATTCTTCCAGTCGGTGTTATTCATTACAGACGCAGTAGATGTCGCTGTGTAGCTGTCAGAGCTCCTTCGCTGCTTCTAAAAGGAAAAAACCCATTTCTTACCTTTTGCCAGATGCAACCTTATACCCAATTATTATACCTAGTTTCATTTGGCTTAAGATAATTTCTTATAACAAATGGGAGTTTTGAACGCTGTGCCCGAGATATGTGCTTTCAGGGCCTGCCCTATTCCTGTGACTGTAATTTGTTTTAACTGTTTTTAGTACCCAAGTTTAAATTGTTGTAACATGCCCTGAGGCCTGCTGGCGAAGGGTGGGTAAGAAATTATTATTAATTAGAATAATCAGGGCTATATTTCTAGAGAAAGAGATGCCGGAACTCACTATGAACACCCCCTTTGTTCTCTGAGAATGGCAATGGCGCCCACCTGAGAGGGGCCGGAAGTGAGTCCCGGTGAGTTCTGGATGAAAAATAATAATATATTATTATTATATTAATAATATATTAATAATAATATTAATAAGAATGCTTGGGATTCAACTAAAGTGGTACCTCAGGTTACAGATGCTTCAGGTTCCAGACGCTTCAGGTTACAGACTCTGCTAACCCAGAAATAGTACCTCAGATTAAGAACTTTGCTTCAGGATGAGAACAGAAATTGTGCGGTGGTGGCACGGCAGCAGCAGGAGGCCCCATTAGCTAAAGTGGTACCTCAGGTTAAGAACAGTTTCAGGTTAAGCACGGACCTCCGGAACGAATTAAGTTCTTAAACCGAGGTACCGCTGTAATGAGTCCTGTCAGTGGGTGCCCAGTGCAAGGACTTCCATTTGCGAGACAGGGTCCCCCCCCCCATATGTTCCCCTCAAATTGGCCCTGTGGTGGGGTCAAGAGAACTCCTGGAACAGCACACAAGGGGGGGAGAGAAGGATCATTTCACCTGGCAAGCCGAAATGTTCGTGCTGATGGAACAATCCTCGAATTCTTCCTCCTCCTTTTCCCAATAATAATCAGTGCTTCCAATCCTTCCTTGGCAAGCAGAGAGCCACTGGAACCGGCTGGGCTCAGAAGTTTTCCATCAATAACTTCCTAGTGTAGCCAGTGAGGTTCTTGGTTGAGAGCCCAGTTACCTTCTAAATCCAGCCTGTGGATGGTCCGGGGATCAGCGTGTTTTTACATGAGTAGAATGTGTCCTTTTATTTAAAATGCACCTCTGGGTTATTTGTGGGGCATAGGAATTCGTTCATTCCCCCCAAAAAATATAGTCCGGGCCTGCACAAGGCCTGAGGGACAGTGGAGCGGCCCCCTGCTGAAAAAGTTTGCTGACCCCTGCGCTTAGTTTATAGATGCATGGCAAAGGACTTAGCAAGGTTATAAAGTTTATGACCACACTAAACTCTTTTTGTTGTGCATCTGCATTCTGCCCTCCAGCATCTGCTGAGGGAAGAATACAGCTACACAATGAGGGACTTAAGTTGGCTAGAAAGTTTATAGCCATACTGAACTCTTTGTTGTGCACCTACGGCCTTCTCTCAAGAGAGATTGGAAGACATGCGCCTGAAGCAGTATGGGGGTAGAATTTCAAACTGTGGTGAGAAAGTGGTCTGTGTTGCCTTTAGCCAGCTCTATGCAGCACAATCCCATCCATGTACCCTCAGAAATAAGCCCCATTATGTTAAATTACATTAAAAAGCAGAGACATCACCTTGCCAACAAAGGTCCGTATAGTTAAAGCTATGGTTTTCCCAGTAGTGATGTATGGAAGTGAGAGCTGGACCATCAAGAAGGCTGATCGCTGAAGAATTGATGCTTTTGAATTACGGTGCTGGAGGAGACTCTTGAGAGTCCCATGGACTGCAAAAAGATCAAACCTCTCCATTCTGAAGGAAATCAGCCCTGAGTGCTCACTGGAAGGACAGGTCCTGAAGCTGAGGCTCCAAGACTTTGGCCACCTCATGAGAAGAGAAGACTCCCTGGAAAAGTCCCTGATGTTGGGAAAGATTGAGGGCAGAAGGAGAAGGGGACGACAGAGGACGAGATGGTTGGATAGTGTTATCGAAGCTACCAGCGTGAGTTTGACCAAACTGAAGGAAGCAATGGAAGACAGGAGTGCCTGGCGTGCTCTGGTCCATGGGGTCACGAAGAGTCGGACACGACTAAACGACTAAACAAAAACAACATGTTAAATAGGGCATTCTCGCAACAGCCCTATAAGGTAGGTATGGCTGAGAGGAGATTTTAATCCAAAGCCTTTACGGTAGAGATCTAAGATTGTTCTACAGTGGGCCGTGGGAAGACAGGTTTGGAGGGGATCCCAAAATCTGGGGTTCTTTCCTGTGTATGGAGGCTACAGCAGGCTACCAGCTCTGTTTCTGAGTCTCTTCCATCCTACCTTAGACTCTCCTGCAGTCACAAACATTTATATAGGTACAGGCTTTGGGTCTGCATTTCTGCAACTTCTGAAACTCTTCCGCTGCTCTGAGGCTCTGGGAGTTGCTTCCTTTCATGGAGGAAGGCATTATATGTGTTCATTGCAAAGGAGGAACATTCTCTCCCCCATGTATGAATCAAGCATTTTGTCTGGTTTGATTTCCATGTCTGAGATATTCTCTTTATCTTGTTGATAAAAGAAGTCTATTGTTTAAACAGGTCATGCAGTTACAAGGACTTTTCTTTCATAACCTCAGACATAATTTTCCATCTTGTTATATAACTTTAATTTATTCTTCTGCTGTGAACTGACCTACTGGACTGGAAAATAAGATTGTAGGATGCTCTCTCACTTCCCTGGCAGCGAGGTGCTCCTGGGACAGGGATGCCTGATCCACAGTGTGATCCCATCTTTGTTCTTACAGATATAAGTCCCACTGAGTTCAATGAGACTGACGCCTTTCTTTGGGTTGCAGCCTGAACAGAGCAATTTTGGCCTCTTTGCTTGAGGGCAAGGGCTGCTCTTATTCAATAGTGCTTGCTCCCTTTTCTTCTATTCGGGATTTCATTTTTACAGTGCAATCCTAACCATGTCTAATCAGACAAGTAAGGCCTATCAAATGGGAATTGCCCCCAGGTAAATGGGGCCAGGATTGCAGCCTCAGTATCATTCGGATTAGAAAGCAGAGGAGACTAAACATGTCTTTGCAATGTTACACACAGCACAGAGACTTCAGGGGTGCCAGCACATACCCCAGCTTTGATTTCCTTGGAATGAAGGTCACCAGAGACTGTGGTGTCTTTGGGGTGTATGGTTTTACTTACACAGATACGTGAGCTGAGCGTAAGATGAAAGTCTTCATAGAATTAGCACGCCAACAAATCTTGCTCCCCCATTAGGTTTCTCGTGGGGTTCCCAAAGATAGTTTTGGGTTCAGCACAGAAAGCAAGGTCTTCCCAGCTCCAGAGGAGACCATGCAAGACGGGCCTCTGGCCTGCTGTTTTCTTTTCACTTGGAATGACCTTGCCTCCTGCTAGGGGAGAGGTGAAGACCTGCAAGTCCAGCAAGTCTAGGTGCTGTATGGTCTCAGCTCCAGACTAGACCAGACTCTGTTGGTCCTCAGTGAGACATCACCTCCAGCCAAGAGAGGGGAAGGAAGCATCACATCTGTGATGGCCAACTCTTTAGTCATATAAAGAGATGCTTTATTATGAAACCTTTAAGATAATATTTTAGTTTCCTATTAATTATGTTGCTTTGAATGCATACATATTTGACTTCTTTTGTAATGCTTTATTCTAGATTGTTTTATTTGATCACAGAATCATAGAGTTGGAAGGGATACCATCTAGTTCAACTCCTTGCAATGCAGAAATACTGTCCACATCTGTCCCTGGGTGGGCTTGAAACACCAACCTTCTGGTTCACAGCCAGAAGCACTAACCCATGGTGCCACTGGGGGCTTCTTAAATGATGTCATAATGTAAACTGTTTGAGATGTTTTCTTAAAAATATAAAGCAGTATACAGTGGAACCTCATGTTACGTACCGTTCCCCCTTTTGAACGCTTTGGGTAACGAGCTCCACTAACCCGGAAGTAGATGCTCCTGGTAGCAAACTTTGCCCCGGGATGTGAGTGGAAGTCATGTGCCGGTGGCGCGCCAGCAACAGGAAGCCCCATTAGCGAAAGCGCGCCTCATGTTAAGAACGGTTTCAGGTTAAGAACAGACCTCTGGAACGAATTAAGTTCATAACCGGAGGTACCACTATAGAAATGAAAGGAATATGATGACAATGACTAATGCTCAATGGATTTGGCTACACTGGTTTGACCACTGCAGCAGTTCATTCTGCTACAAGAATCCATTTTATATACATAAAACCACAAGTTTGGATGGGCCCAACAGATATTATCCAGACTAGTCCCCCATCCTATTTGCTTTATTCAAACTTCCTTTATTCACACAGCTACAAGCACAGCAAGGGATGTGGGTGGCGCTGTGGGTTAAATCACAGAGCCTAGGATTTGCTGATCAGAAGGTCGGCGGTTTGAATCCCTGCGACGGGGTGAGCTCCCGTTGCTCGGTCCCAGCTCCTGCCAACCTAGCAGTTCGAAAGTACATCAAAGTGCAAGTAGATAAATAGGTACTGCTCCGGCGGGAAGGTAAACGGCGTTTCCGTGCACTGCTCTGGTTCGCCAGAAGAAGCTTAGTCATGCTGGCCACATGACCCAGAAGCTGTACGCCGGCTCCCTCGGCCAATAAAGCAAGATGAGCACCGCAACCCCAGAGTCGGCCACAACTGGATCTAATGGTCAGGGGTCCCTTTACAAGCACAGCACAGCTGGATGCAAATATTTTTAGAGGGGACCCTGTGTTAGTCTCTTGCAACAAAAATAACAATGGGCGTTAGCCTTTAAAATGCCACAAAACTCCTGGTAGTTTTTGGAAGCAAAGAGCCACTTGAAGGACTGTTACCCTAAGTCAGACCCAGAGACAGAGTCCTGCACCTACAAGGTGCCTTTAGACTTGTTACAATTCTTTCTCTTTCTCTGAGATTTCAACTGACCCCCCAGCCCTGCAGCCGCCACTGCTTAACTGAAGTTCTCCAAACCTCTGCTGGGGTATCTCATTCAAGAAACAAGACACTTTGAACTGTGAGGAAACCATCATTGACTTGACCATTATCCCCCATTCATTAAACATCAACTGAACATCCTGGACCATTAACTAGGAATGTGACTAACAGAGCCATGACACCTTCAACAATACTCAGTTTGGTTACAGAAAAGAAAAACAAAGGAATTAAGTGCCCTTCTTAAGCTATTTTAACATAAGCACAAAGATGAAGGAGGAGGAATCCCTCTCCTTCAGAGATGGGGATGGCTTCCTGGGGAGTGGGGAACAATAGCATAATAGGGGGATGGGGAAACTGTGTCTTGCCACGTTGCTGGATTGCAACCTCTGCCACCCCTGTAAAATGGCCATGCTGACTGTTGAGGCTGCTGGGAGTTGGCATCCAACAACATCTAGAAGGCCAGAAATGTTCCCTCCCCATCATGGGCATAAGACATAGTTTTTGGATGTGTTTTTCTTTCCTATGGACCAATGCAGCTGCCTTGGTAGGGGTTTTGTTGATGCTATTATTTTGCAAGTGAGAGACTGTTTTTCACCCTTCCCTTGAAGTAGATTCATCCCAGTGCGTCTTCTTAAGAACGTGAGAACAGCCTCTGGATCAGGCCAATCTAGTTCAGCATCCTGCTCTCACAGCAGCCAACCAGATGCCTATGGGAAGCGCAAAGGCAGGACCTGACTGCTTTGTGCAAATCAAGGCAGGAAGCCACTACCTGCGGCGACAAGGAGAGACATTCCTTCTCTTGGTACAAACAGGGCTAGGTGTGGGCCAAAGGCACGCCCCCGAGCGGTGACCCGATATAGTGTTATCCCTTCCCCGTGTCTCCAGCAAATGGGCTGGAGCCGGATAGTCGTTAGGACCAATGCCTAAGCCAATGCCTCTCATTCCTGAATTCAATAAAGTTGTGGCCTAATTCGCCCATTTAACCTTAAACATGGTGTCTCGTGTCTTTATTTATCCTGGTGGGGGGCGGGAACTCGCCACGCAAGGAGAGACATTCCTTCTCTTGGTACAAACAGGGCTAGTGCAGACACACCTTAAGTGAATACCGTACATCCTGTGTTACATGCAACACTGGGGTGCTTTGCCTCAAGAAAGCCGCACCCAGGTTTAGTTTATTAGTTTCTGCAATGCATTACTGGGAAGACTGCTTGCCTACTGCCATCATACATTATCCTTCTAAAATATCACTTTTAAATCTCATGGGGAAACAAAGCATCCTTACGTTTTCCAACTGTACAGTAATTTTTCCAGGAACAATAAAACCTTCCTGGTTCTGCAAGGCAGATGGAAAACAGACCTATGTGGCAGATGACTGCCATTCATTCATTATATTTATCCTCTGCTTCTTTCAGCCAAGATTAACTCAGCTGAAAGTCCACACATATGTACAATATTTTTATGAGGATTATTTTTTTGGGGGGTGGGGAGGAGTAAGCTATATTCCTGAGTCCCCTAATGAAATCAATGGACATTACTTACATCCTGGTCATTAACTGGATGGGTCTACTCTAAGTAACACTTTGTTGAATGCCGTCCCTGGTGCCCTTCAGATGTTTAGGACCAGGAACTTCTGTCAGCAGGAAAGCTGAGACAGAACATCAGCTGAATCAAGTCAGGCTGCTTTATGGTGGTAAGTAACTCTTTTAAATCCTTTGACTGCTAACAGAATAAATATATTAAAAAATTCCTTCCAGTAGCACCTTAGAGACCAAGTAAGCTTGTTATTGGTATGAGCTTTCGTGTGTGTGGTATGAGCTTTTCGTGTCTCTAAGGTGGTACTGGAAGGAATTTTTTAATTTTGTTTCGACTACGGCAGACCAACACGGCTACCTACCTGTAACTAGAATAAATATATGATACTGCCACCTACAGTTAAACTTAAATCTCTGTGCACCAATCTGTCCACGGAGGCAGGTGAGCACAAGGAAGGAAGCAGACACAGTTTCCTTCTTTAGAAACTCTGGGGCTACCCAGCTGTTCCATATGGTAAGCAGCTCCTTGCTAAGGAGAGCCACCTGATTTATCTCCCAACTCCTGACAGATGATTCTCCTCTCCACCCCCTCACCCCCGGCACCCACAGCAGTGCCACTTCCCTTTGCCCATGGATTACTATTCTAGAGTTGACATTTTGCTGGCCCATGGATTTAGCAGCTGCTTATCTCTGCCATCTGAAACTGCTCCTGCTGCCGGGAGTCTGGCCTTAGCAGACGCGGGAGGCAATGCAGCCAGGGACAGAACATATGGATATGAGACTAACCCAAGTTGTCTGTTTCTGTCAGGATTGTTCTGTTGTTATTTGTAAGATGCTTAAAATCCCCAGCACTATAATCTAAAATGGGATCCCTCCTCTAAACAACAACAACAGCAACAACAGCAACAACAACAGCAGCAGCAGCAGCAGCAACAACAACAACGGCTTATAATGTGAAGGTAAAGGACCCCTGGATGGCTAAGTCCAGTCAAAGGCGACTATGGGGTTGTGGCGCTCATCTTGCTTTTCAGGCCAAGGAAGCCAGCGTTTGTCCACAGACAGCTTTCTGGGTCATGTGGCCAGCATGACTAAACCGATTCTGGAGCAACGGGCCACCGTGACATAAGTCAGAGTGTATGGAAACGCCATTTACCTTCCCGCCACAGCGGTACCTATTTATCTACTTGCACTGGTGTGCTTTCAAACTGCTAGGTTGGCAGGAGCTGGGACAGAGAAATGGGAGCTCACTCTGTTGCGTGGATTCAAACCGCCAACCTTCTGATCAGCAAGCCCAAGAGGCTCAGTGGTTTAGACCACAGCGCCACTCGTGCATAGTAAGGGAGGGCAACCAGAGGCCTCTGGCCTAATTTCTCATGGGTGGCAATAATGGAAATATGGAGTGAAGCAGTATGCTCCTGGATACCTGTTAATTCCTAGCAATACAGAGAGGGACTCTGTGTGAGAGTTTCCCATGTTTGAGAAAATGGTCACTTGTACCCCCCCCCAAAGGAGTAGGTTTGCAATTTTGGCTCCAGACTGGAGGGCCAGGCCATTTCAGTGGTTAGAATCGACTTTTACCAGTTGAGACTGGGGCAACAACTATGATTGTTCCTCAAACAGGAAAACTTGGTAGATCATGCACTGTTACTTCAAGACCGGATTACTGCAGTGTCCTCTATGAGGGCCTCCCTTTGCACTTGATCTGGAAGCTGCAGTTATTGCAGGATGCCGCTGCCTGTTTGCTGACGGGAGCAAAACCCTGTCCACTGCTGCTCAAGAACAGTACTGGTTGCTGTTCTGCTACTAGGCCAAGTTCATGGTGTTACTGTTTCGTATATGAAGCCTTTAAAAGCTTGGGACCAATTTACCTGTGAGATTGCATTACTCCATATATGCCCACAGGACTACTTTGATCTGTGGAACTGGCACTGTTATAGATGCCACAAAATACTCGTTCTGTGTTTCTAAGAAATTGCTATTTCAGTGTAGCAGTGCCCAAACATTGGAATTCCCTGCCTATTGGCATCAGGTAGATAGATAGATGCCTTCACTGTACACTTTTGGGAATCTGCTAAAAACATTTTTAAAAATAAAGCCTATTCAGACATGTAGAATGTTAACATGTGTTTTCATCTGGTTTTTAGTTTATCATTGATTCTAATTATTTTTGAATGCTTTATAGGTGTTGTTATTGATGATTTTAGTGCTCTATTCCTTTTGTAAACGACTTTAAGGCTTTATTACAATCCAATAGTATATCCATCTTGCACAATAAAATAAAATCAATTCAACACAGATGCCAATAGGGACAAAGATTTTAATAAGGATCGTTGAAAGAGGAAAGTCTTTAGCAGGTGTGTGAAAAGACAATGGACAAGGTCCCTGTCTGATATGCAAAGGGCATTCCAAAAGGTAAGTGCCTTCACACCAACATCTTTAGTGGGAAGGATTATCCAAGTAGCTGGTTTGCAGGAGATTCAGGGCAGGGAACAAAAAGTGTGGTGCATAACAAATGCATAGAATTAGCTGTCACAAGATGTGATAATGGCTATTAGCTAGGGCTGAGGAACCAGTGGATAATAGCCTAAACAAAAGAATCTTGTAGTGCCTTAAATAGTAAGTCTGCAAATTCACCTTCCTGGGAGTTAGCCCAATTGAATTCAATAAGTCTTAATTGAGCACAAAGAATTAGAATTACACTAACACATTTAAAGTGGTGTACTCTTTGGTTATCAACAACAATTTCTTTCACGATTACCCAGTTAACTATGACCACTGTCTATACTTTTCTGCATTTCATTTCATTCTTACCTCACTGTTTATAATTCCACACACACACACATATATATGCCTGCAACTCAGGATAACACTTCATGCGCATGATGAAGCATGGGGCAATTGTTTTGAAGGAGTTTTCTAGGAACTCAAAAGGCCGCATTAAGAACATGTGAAAGAGCATTTTTAATAATTTTACGTTCACAATTATTTTAATAGTAAATGATTACAATTTGAAGAAACTTGACATTTAAAACTTAACAATAACAACAAAAACCCCTCCACAACTCCAAAAGGTGGTTTGTTTGTTTGTTTTACAAAATCCCACTCAGCATAAATCTCTGCAACAGGCCTCCTGTCTCCGGTTCAAAGGAAGTGGACAACAGCAGGCCAGGGATCATAATAGGCTGTACCAATCTAATTCAGAGCTATGTTTAGCCCTGCATTAACAACCATACTTGTTCACATGCCATCCACCAGTAGATTAGGCACAGCCACAACTCTTTCAGTTTGCCCTGAGTGGGGTTGGGCTTTTTGTTATTTTTGACAGTTATGGGCAACAGGTGGTGAAGACTCACCAATAGTGAACATGGGAGATGTGGCGCTTCAGAAAATACTTGCCATTGTTTGCATGCATCATCTACAAATGCACCATCTATCCCTAGGAAGACTCTGGTGCCCAGTATAAATCCTGCTTTCACAAACCATGTGAGTGATTGGGTTGATAGCAGATAATGGATATTATTATGGTTCTTTATTCATTGCCTTCCACATATATGTCTTAGGGTGATGTGAAAAAAAAATAACAGAAGCAGCTAAAAAAAGTTTTAAACAGCACAAAATTAATTTAAAAACAATGCAAAGCAGACACCCATGGTACAGACCTATCCATCCATCCTGGGAAAGCCTGTCAGAAAAAAGATGTCTTCAATTGTTTACAGAAAATGCAGATAGCAGGTCTCTGTCATATCTCAATGGACAGAAGACTATCCACAGACAAGTTCTATCCCAGGCTTCCTCAACCTCGGCCCTCCAGATGTTTTTGGCCTACAACTCCCATGATCCCTAGCTAGCAGGACCAGTGGTCAGGGGTGATAGGAATTGTAGTCTCAAAACATCTGGAGGGCCAAGGTTGAGGAAGCCTGTTCTATCCTATGTTCCCTTATGGGCAAGCATGGTCTCCCAGAGCAAGTGCCTGATGTAACACCTGGCAAAAGCAAGCTCACGCCTCTGATTTTGTATGCATACTTAAGATACATATGTAAGAGACTCGTTTATCATTATGTTTTGGGAATGATTCAAGCTTTTATGTAGCTGTATTATTTTATGTTTTCTGGCTGTCCCTTGAGCATATTATAAAGGAGTTGTGTTCTATGTTATAAATCAAGTACTGCGAGCTGCTTGTTTTTGAATGTATTTCTTATCATTTAAAAAATCCTGAAAGTGTGGCCCAGAGAAAACAGTTTGTGAACTGCTGCTCTAGATAAATCAGTCTCAGACCTGCAGTTGCTCCACAACCATCCTCTCCACCACCTTTGCCAAGAAAGGGGTGATGGTGACCAGTCTGTAGTTACTGTTGGGTCTAGGGTGGGTTTTTTGAAAAGTGGACACACCGCTTCCTTTTTGAGGACAGTGCAAAAATGTGCATTGTGCAAAAATGCATTTACCACACCTCCGACCCATTCCGTCGCCCCTACCGTGGCCAGCTTAAATAAGGCAGGGTAGACAAGGATCTAATGAAACATCACTACAAGTTTCTTCTGCAGGCCACGTTAACTGGGGATGATCCCACAATACATGGCTTCAAGGTTGCATTGGTCATCTCGGCTGGTACTGCTGCAATCATGGCCACTGGGCCCATCACCTCCTGGCAAATAGAAGGGGAAGGGGAAGAAATGGAGGCAGTGAGAGATTTTACTTTCTTGGGCTCCATGATCACTGCCGATGGTGACAGCAGTCACAAAATTAAAAGATGACTGCTTCTTGGGAGAAAAGCGATGACAAACCTAGACAGCATCTTAAAAAGCAGAGACATCACCTTGCCAACAAAGGTCCGTATAGTTAAAGCTATGGTTTTCCCAGTAGTGATGTATGGAAGTGAGAGTTGGACCATCAAGAAGGCTGATCACCGAAGTATTGATGCTTTTGAATTATGGTGCTGGAGGAGACTCTTGAGAGTCCCATGGACTGCAAGAAGATCAAACGTATCCATTCTTAAGGAAATCAGCCCTGAGTGCTCGCTGGAAGGACAGATCCTGAAGCTGAGGCTCCAATACTTTGGCCACTTCATGAGAAGAGAAGGGTCCCTGGAAAAGACCCTGATGTTGGGAAAGATGGAGGGCACAAGGAGAAGGGGACGACAGAAGACGAGATGGTTGGACAGTGTTCTCGAAGCTACCAGCATGAGTTTGACCAAACTGCGGGAGGCAGTGGAAGACAGGAGTGCCTGGCGTGCTCTGGTCCCTGGGGTCATGAAGAGTCGGACACAACTAAACGACTAAGGTAAAGGTAAAGGGACCCCGACCATTAGGGTCCAGTCGTGGCCGACTCTGGGGTTGCGGCGCTCATCTCCCTTTATTGGCCGAGGGAGCCGGCGTAAAGCTTCCGGGTCACGTGGCCAGCATGACTAAGCCGTTTCTGGTGAACCAGAGAAGCACATAGAAACGCCGTTTACCTTCCCGCTGGAGCGGTACCTATTTATCTACTTGCACTTTGACGTGCTTTTGAACTGCTAGGTTGGCAGGAGCAGGGACCGAGCAACGGGAGCTCACCCCATTGCGGGGATTCGAACCGCCAACCTTCTGATCGGCAAGCCCTAGGCTCTGTGGTTTAATAAACGACTAAACAACAACAACAAAATTGCTGCGGAGCGGAACAACTTTATCCTTGATTGCATCTAATTATCGGGTGCTCCACAAAGGTCCTCCTCACCTCCCCCGTTTGAAATTATATTTACAAAGAAAAGTGAGGTGCCAGCAACTGAAGTAACTATATAATTGATGGGCTGAAGCACGACAATCCGGCTCGTGTTTTTCCTCGGAGGCAACTCCCACGGCGAGGCTTTATCACGTCCCCTTTAAGAGCCGCTTCATCACGTCCCCTTTAATGGCCGCTGCCGTTGTCATTCAGGGCCCGCGTGCCCGACGGCTGGCCGTTACCCCATTGGTCCGTTACCTTCTCTTGCCAGCCGATTCCTGCCACGCTGCATCTTATGAGTCCGCCAAACGGAGAAAAAAATAAGTCCAGATGTCCCGCCTACTACGGAATCCTTACGCGGGATTGGAGGGCGAAGGAGGACTGACAAGCGGCGGAAGGATCTTGGGGGCGGTGATGTGCCGTTGCCCACAACTACCTTAAACGCCGTTACCGGCCGCTCGGCTGCTCAGAGAGGTCGAGACTCTCCGAGGTGACTGACGTTTGATAGCCGGGCAGGTAAGGCTGGTGAGCTGGGTAGGGCGGGGCGGCTTATCCATCACCCGCTGCACGTAGCTCCTGCAGAGGCGTGAGGAAGAGCCCTGCTTCTCTAACTTCTACCCAGCGCCTCACTTCCTTCTCTGCTCCCCTTTTATTCACCTACGACATATTCTCCATCTTTAGAGCCACCTCACTCAAGGCAATTTGACGTGGGTTTTTTTTTAAATAAAAAAACCTAAAGCCGTATAATATATACTTCCCCCTTCCCAAAAAACAAAAACCTTGTTGGGCTTGTGAGCGTATGGGGAGCATTCTCCTCACACCTCCCGAGGGCGCGGGGCTGAGGGCGGTTAGGTAACGGCCTGGCACGCGGCCTAACTGTCTGGAGGAAACCCCAGGAAATGAAGGGGAGCTCCTGAGGCGCCGAGGTTTGCGAAGCACCAAAGTGCCCCCCTTCCGTCTCCATAGAAACGTGGAGGGGGGGGGAGAGAAGAGAGGGCCAGGAAGCACGCACGTGGGGGGATGGGGTGCTGCGCACGCGGGAGCGCACTTTTCGAGGTGCCCATCATGGCTTCCTCCATCTTCACGCTCTTCCTACCCCCTTTGATTTACTTCCTCGTTCTTTTTCCACGCTCTCTCTTTCTCTCCCCCTCCTCCCTGAAAGCCGCCTCTGCGCATCCTTGAGCGCCCCGGATTCCCTCCGCCCCCCCGCGCCAGCAGCCTCCCTCTCTGCTGGTGGAAGCGGGAGGTATCGAGTTTCACCGCCTGCCAATTGTGGCTTGGCTATCATATTGCCAAGGGCCTGGTTTCATGAGCGTTATCGGGTCGCACCGATAAGGCAATCAGAGCTTACGGTTTCTTTGCTTTCCTCCCGGATCTAACCCCAGTACCACGCAGGTTTATGCCGCTAAATCACAGTGGGTTGTAACCTAAGTTGTATGCAGAAAAAGTCCGTTGAAATCAATGGACCCGAGTTACCCATGTTCAACCCTTGAGAAGGACCAACACCCCATGGTGCTTACTCATAAAAAAGAAAAGCACGCGTAGCATTTGCAGTCTTATTCTGACCTTCTCGGGTAAGGATGCTTTTCTCTAGTTGCCTAAGGTGGTATTTTAACTCCCGCATGCCTTAGAGTGAGTGCAGAGAAGGCAAGACTTCCTTGGGAGCACAGTCTACCATGAGGCGTTTCTCTAGGGTGACCTTGGCCATTGCAGCAGCAGCTCTGTGCAGGCCAAACATTTCACGCTCGCGGGAGTAGGAACAAATACTAAGAGATTCCATCAGTGTGGTTGCCTGCACCTATTGTTGCTTTTGTGACAATATTGGGGTGGTTTTTGGAAGAGGCATAACTAAGGAACCATAGCGTATCAGTTTTTTTTTATCTGGAAGCAAGTTTCACCTTCATACTGGTTTGGTGGGGAATGAATAATTGCAGCTTGTGATCAATATTTCTCAGAATAACAATAAATAGTGCTGAATGAAAACAATAGGCACAGAAGTTGTAGAGAAACTGTTTCACATAGGTAAGGTTGTCTGAACCATAACAGGTTAGGAAGCTGTCCAGTAGTCACAGTACTGCTACCACACCAGAAATAGGTTCTTTATGGTATTCTATATGATATTCTGTACAGGGGTCCACAAACTGGCTACTATAACAGTAGGTATTCATTTGTTTAGTAGCCATGCTTCAGGCAGAGGTTTGGTGGTGCTTCGAAGCAGTATCTCCAAATCTTGATGTGAAATGAGATTGCTTCCCATTTTTCTGAGACATGAAAATTTAGAAGGGGAGGAGTCATTACTAACTGCTCAACCCATGGGCTTTTTTACAGATGTGATGTAATTTCCATTTACTGGAAGAAGGAAATGACTGAGCGATTAGCACAGTTAATGGAAATTTAAGTAACCAGCTTAAGTTGTTTCTTCTTATGTCAATTCTGCCTGCCTGCTGGAAATACTTTTGGATAAAACAGCTAGGGGGACAACCATTTATTTCAGTTTAACATGTTCTCTCTGTATCATAAAGTGGTACAAACCTGTGTTTAACCTGTAGCAGCTTTCCCTTGACATTTGTTGCCATCATGTACAAACATGTCCACAAGCAGATGGTTCAGAGGGGAGAAGCTTTGGCATGCAAAATAGGGTGCCGTAGCCCTTTTATTTGGCTATAATTTATTTGAAATCTCTGTAGCTGAGTCATCTTACATTGCCAAGGCCAGTTGGAACACATGCAGTTGGTGCAAATCTTTTCAACCAGGAAATGACTTAAACTGGAAATGCTCATATATAAAAGCTTAGCTTTTCAGGGAACAGAATTAATGACAGTAGCTTTATATATGTTTATAATTGTTTTATTCAAATATGTCTATAGATGTTTAATCAGACATATTAAGAACTCAGCTTTTCCATGATGCTGTTGGCTTGCTGCAGTATTCTGTGACTTCTAGCACGTAGGATTTGAATGAGACTGTAGTAACAGCCTATCACCACTACTGTCTCTGTGCGCAAGAAAGCTTCAGGCAAATGATGCCGCCGATGAGGGCCCAACCAATGTGTCTAAATTTAGCTGAGGGCTTACACTTTTGACTGGGAATAAATTCATTCATTTCACTTGGTCAGCAAAGTAGTCTTTCCTTTCTGAAAATGAAGGATTATTAAAGCAGCACATCCTAGTGAAGTGGTAGTTTAAAAATTATGTTGGAAGTTGATAGAGATTAGATAAAGGCATATTTTAAAGACATATTTTAGTGAATAGTGCATGTGTTCTTAAAATAGTGATGATCCACCTTTTTGCAAAAAGAATAGCATGGGGCTAAAATGTTTTAAACCACTTGCCCTGGGATATCCCAGTCTTATCTGTTCTCACTAACAGCTCACAATATACTTAGGTTTAAAGCTTATCGCATAAATAAGCCTTTCTTTGTTTGTGAGGTTATATTAGATTATATTGCCCTGCCTGCTTGTTCATCTGTTCTGTTTTGTGTTGAGGGCCCATGTGATCCTCTATTTAAAATTGATCTGCACTAAATTGAAATCCATCACCTTAAGAGTTGTAGACTACAGATAACCTGGTTGGATCAGAGTATTTAAAATATTTGGGGTAACTTGAAGTGTGTGTTTGGTGTTTTGGCATTGGTACATTTCCAAAAAACTATTGGAATATGCTAATGCAGTCAGGCTACTGTCTTGTACAGATTATAGGGAAGCATTTATATACTGCTTATTCCACTAAGTTTTTGGTAGATAAAATGTGATAAGAATTTAAGAATTAGATTCTCTAAATTAGGTGATAGATGTGATGGGGGGATCACCTCAGTCTGCAATAATGAAGAGTGTTTAAAAGCCCTGTTATGAGTTGGGGTGACATATAACTCCGGAGTGGCATATAATTTTTTGAGGTCTAGGCAAATTCCAATACGTATCTGTCAAATTTCTTGGATACATTGATTTGATTATCCTGTTCACTTTAAAACAATAGTCTCCTTCTACTTGGCAAGAAAAGAAAATGTGGATTCAGGAGATTACTGTTAAAGTCTTTATTGTTTTTATAATGTTACCTTATGTCTAATTGTAACATACATTGTAATTGATAGGCAGCATGTTACATTCCTTGTACAAATGACTGCTTTAATATCTGGATTTAGTAAACATACTGTACTAGGACCACCTTCCTAATTTTCAGAGGGATGCTTGTTCTACCCCCAAATATTATATAATGGTTTTTAGTTAGGCCAGCATAATATGTTTACTAATGTATGGGAAGGTGCAAACTTTTATATTTCTTTATTGAAAAATTAAAAGTATAAAATTAAAAGGGCACAAGGTAAAATAAGATGTGAAAAGAAAAAAAATATGTAAACAACAACTCATTAGTTTTGTGTCATGTATTGAAAAAGTGGAGCAGTACCAAATGTGGCAGTAAATGGAGAGTAAGAGTCCCAAGTTTCTTAATACTGTTTCCCATTGCAGTGTTGTGCCAAAGTTTTTTGAAGCCTACAAAGAGATGTCATTGGAGTAGGGGGTGGCTTCCCCAGAAACAAGATGATAGTTTCTGGATGATAGTTTACCCCATAAGAAAAATGCTAAGCTAGACTAATTTAGTAAAGAGTTGGGGCAAGCTTAAGCTGAAAGAGTGCCATTTTAATAATACTTAAATAGATTTTTGCAAAAGGTTGTATAAATATGAACCTGGTTGCATAAGAATCTTCCTGTGCTGGGAAGACATTGGTCTGCATCACTGCAGGAGCTATTTCCTGTCTCTCTCCCCCCCCCCCACAGCATACTTCTGTTAATTTGAAAGTGAGTCAGCATCTTCACTGAGGCTAGAGCTTGTATTTCCTCTGAGAATTGGCTTATTCAAAGGGAAGGTGAGGGATGAGAAGGGAGAATGATGCTTGCAATAAGCTGAATCTGAATCGGATGAGTTAAAGCTCTGACTACGAGGGAAGCTGCACGTACAGAGGTCCTAACCAGAAAGGGTGGAGCTAATGCACATGGCCTAAAGCTGCTGGGAATAACTGTACAGCAAAAAGGGGAAAAGGTTTTACTCTTTGAGAGTAATTAGTATAAATCAGAAGTGCTTGCATTGTAGCTTGTTGAGCACAATATTGAGAACACATTGCTAGTGACAACCATTTGTTCCAGGGATAGCATGTGAAGCCAACATCTTGTAGAGTCAGAACACATTGAGTTCAGTGGTAGGTCTTTTTTCCTGGATGCCTGTCTTATTTTTTTTTAGCTAGCTAGCTATACACAGAAGTTAAATGTGTGTAAGTTGCAAGTTACTTATATAGGCTGGCTGCCAAAGTGCAGTATTAAGTGTAAGACTATTTAGTTCAGGTTTACTGGGTTAGTTTTAAACTTCTATTTAGATTAATCCATTATATGTTTGGCAGTTCCTAAACATTAGTTAAATAAGTGTATGCAATATTGTGGCTCTTTTATGATAATACGGAGCAGCAAACACTCAGGTTGCTCCCTCCTTGGTTGAGCACGCATTAATGCAATGCTGTGCATATGTGCGGTTTATATACACTCAAAACGGCATAGAAGTAAGTTGATTTGCTGGCTGCAACAGACCTCAGCCTGTTCAGTCTGTCTCTTTGCCAGTCTGAGCATGGGCTGAAATCTTTCCCTTGGAGTTAATCAATTTGCAATGAAGGGCTTCAACCTATCATGTAGGAATCTCTTCTGCATGGCTACATCCCAGGAATGTATTAAATGGGAAACATGTTCAGTTGATTGCTGCAAGGTCAGGCAGATGTATTTCCTTTATTTCTTCTTTTAGATACCAAATCTCAGCAGCCATGTCGAAACAACACGATGCTTTCATCCAGACCCAGCAGTTGCATGCTGCCATGGCCGACACATTCCTGGAACACTTGTGCCGTCTGGACATTGACTCTCCCCCAATCACTGCAAGAAACACTGGCATTATCTGCACAATTGGTAAGTGGAGTTCAATCACAAATTTAACATAAAATTTGAACACTATTTGCTCTGCCATCTTACGGTTTTTACTAGCCTACTCTACACATCGGCTAAGTCAATTGCCTACCTGAGTAAAGTTTTGAAAGAAGCTTTCAGATAAATATTGAAATACAGTGGAACCTCAGGTTGCAAATGTGATCCGTGCGGGAAGCACGTTCTCAACCTGCATCACCATGTCTACGCACACGCGGGTTGAGATTTGGCGCTTCTGCGCATGCGCAAAGCGTGATTTAGTGTGTCTGTGTGAGCGCCGAAACCCGGAAGTAACCCGTTCTGGTACTTCCGGGTGCAGTGCGCAACCCGAAATTGCATAACCTGCAGTGTCTGTAACCCGAGGTACCACTGTACAAATAGATCTTCATATTAGTTGTTTTTATTATATTTTGTACATAATCTCAAGATATGTATGGAAGGCAAGTAACAACAACCACAATAACTGCTGCTATAAAAACGAGCATATTTTCCGATAGATAATTTATGTGTATTTCTTCTAGCAGTATTAGTGAGAAGTGAAAAAGTAATGAATGTAGCTAGCAAACTAGAAGATGGGAGTTAGTCAGGTACTTGGCTGTGTTTGAACAGCCTCACCTTTGCCCCCTGCACAAGATTAAGGAAGTAAAACCCTGTATGCTGTGGACAACTTACTTATTACATTTATATCCCACTCTTCCTCCCAAAGGAGCCAAGGGGAGCAAAGAACAAATAATAAACATTTTATGGCTGTTATGAATATTTTAATAGTTGAGAGGCTTTCTCAGTAAACTTGTTCATTTTGGCTTATGTGCCCATCTTCATGTTATACCAGCTAGAAGGCTAAACATAAGTTTTTTTAATGTTTTTAAGACTTAAATGTGCATTTCTCGCTTATTATGTTTAATAATAGCTTAAACAGTTATTTTGCAGACAAGAAGACAAAGGCATAGAGTAGTAGAATAGTCGTCTTAAGTAGCTCTGGACAGTTATCTGGACTTTAATACTCTGTTAGCAATGATTTCAGTGGATCTGCTCTAAGTATGACTTAGTTGAATACCGCCCGTAGACTTGTAACTATTAACTGGCATATGCTAAAGAAACTTCATTTTCAAATCTCTAGGCCCGGCTTCTCGGTCAGTGGAAACGCTAAAAGAAATGATTAAATCTGGAATGAATGTTGCTCGTCTCAACTTCTCTCATGGAACCCATGAGGTAAGAGCAGATTTGAGGGCAAATATTGCACTCACTTGAGAAAGAACTGTTCTCATTAGATCAATCCTATGTTTTACCTTGGGGCTAAAGACTTGAGGCCTCATTTATCCAGTCTGCTGTTAAAAAACACACACACTTTAAACCAAACATTCCAACAAATATGGATGCTAAGAGGTTTGTATATCTAAAAGTGCTACTGAGTCCTTGTTAAAAGGCTGGTAAAATACATTTTCTTGTTAGTCTTCCACTTTCAGATAAATGTGGTAGTCCAAACCTTAAATGAACAGTTAAAACTGCATGTAGCTGGAAAGCAAAATGATGAAATGAGTTAACCAAATAATTTCTCCAAGAAGATCATGGCCAGCTTGAATACGGAACTGTGTCCATGCAGCCACTGTGCAGACTTTGGAGACAGAGCAAATGTCAGAGGCTGTGGATCTCAAAAAAAGATGCCTGTTACAAGTACAGCATGTCCATTTCAGTATTCACTGAAAGTTCACCTGTTAAAGGTCACTCCTCTGTTACCAGATACTGCTGATGCATGCCTGACTTCCAAACAAGATCTTGAAACATGTTCACCCTTGTAGCCACAAACATCTCCTCCTGTTAGGAGTGGTTAAATGAAACTGCTATGCTCTGGTTCATAGGGTCTGCTCAGGTACAGTGTCATTTGAAGCTGCTGCTCCTTTATTAAGGTTATAGCAGTACCTATATTAAGAAAATTTAACCAGCATTACTTTTTAGTATATGTTCTAGTTATTTCCCTGCAAAATTATGAGATCTGCAGGGAGCCAGTTAGATATGACTGAAATGGAGTTGCCAGTCGGTTAAGATACAGCACATCTGCAAGGCTTGCAAAGTAAGATTGGGAATAAAATTATGTTGATAGGATTTTGGCACTTTAAAAGCAGAGTGCTTAAGGTCACTAGACTTGCAAGTAACTTGCAGTAGAAGGCAACCCCCCTTCTATAAATAAAACAGCCTTCTCACTATTGCTACAGGATGGGAGGCTCTCAGGCTCCCATTCCCGACTGCAACTTTCCTTAAAGGCCACCTGAATGCCTTTGGGCTGGCTGCTGTTAACTCTTTGAAAGGTCAAGCTGCAATCTGGGCAGCAGCTTGCAAAGTTATGTTAGCTAAGAAAGTGTTTTGGCCTCTTCTATTGGTCTTCTCTTTAAAAGGCATCCATGCTGAATGTGCATAAAATACACCAACACTCCTAGACTGTTTTATTTTAGAAACTACTGTATGTGATGAATTACAAGTGATCATTTTTACGCGTGCACACACTACTGCAGTATGTGCACATAAGTCTTATTGGTGGTGGTATTATTAAATTTCTATACCAGTCTTCATTTTAAAATAAAATGGGTATGCTTTTAACAGGCAGTGGAAGCTCACCACAGTAGATGTGTGCCATATCTTAAGTGGGAGAACCATTTCACAAAGTGGGCCCCTTTGGAGAAGGCTGCCTTGCACCTCAAAATTCTGCAAGACTGACCCAATAGGTTCGCTTCTCAAGTTCTTTGGGAATGAGCAGGTCTATACAGGAGAAGGTGTTCTTTCAGATTGCCTGGTCTTAAGTAGTTTAGGGTTTTATGAATTAATGACAAAACCTTAGACTTTTGCTTGCTAGTAGGGTGATGGTCAGTGCAGTCTCTAGCGCAGGTGTTATATTTGCATGGTAGGATGCTTCATTTGGTAATCTAGCTGCTACAGTTTGTATCACGCAGCTTCCGTACCAGCCTTGAAGGCAGCCCCACCTTGGAGTGTATTGCAATAGTCCAGTCTCCAGGTTATCAGTGCATGTGTCCCTGTAACTAGGCTATCCTGTTCCAGCAACAGTTGTGGTTGCCACATGACCTAAAGCTGCAAAAAAGTACTGCTAACCACTGAGGCCACTTAGATCTCCAATAACAAAAGTGGAGGAAGGAGTTCCCTCATCTGAGTACCTATTAACAGAAATAAGGCTGGCTATCATCAGCATATTGATGGTACCATGCTCCAAATCCCCTAATCCTGCTCCCACTTGCTTTATATAGATATTAAAGAATGTTGGGGACAAGATGGTTCACTGTGGCAGCCCACAGGACTACAGTCTGGGAGTCAGAAACAATCACCAAATGCTCTCTGACACCAGCCCTTCAGCTAACACAGTGCCTCCCAAGCAATGGAGACTGTTGTGGAGGATGCCATGGTTGATGGTATCAAAAGCTGCTGTGAGAAGCAAGCAAGAGTAGCAGATCTCACTCCCTTTCATGAAAGGCACCCATCTGGCAACAGAGTGAGATTTAGTCCCCAAACCTGATCTGAACTCAGAGTGTAATGGGTCTAAATAATCAGCATCCTCCAAGACCATATGGAGCTGAACTGCAACTAGTCTCTTGAACTCTTTGCTTCCAAAGAGCTACTCGGCAGTAGTAGCTGAAAACTGGGTTCAGGAGCAAACACACTACTGTCTTCTTACTAAAGTTTCACCTGGGATCCTAATGTCCCACTGTTAATGCAATTAAAGTACTTAATTTCTGAACCTGTGTTAATGCTGATTAGTTAAACTGCTGTTCTGTATGGTGATCAAATGAGCTAGTTAGCCACTTCTCCTGTTTTTTCCTGCAGAAACTTAATATTTGGCATGGCATGGTACCTTGCTGCTTTCTTCTTTTAATAGCTGTAACAGTAAAAGTTTACATAACCTTGATTGCAAACTTTGCCTGTCTTCTATTGCTGTTTGATCAAGATAAGCAAACAGTTTTCATAGGCTAATCTGTGAAGTGAAACCTATCTGTTAGTGAGGATTCAGCTAATCTGACTTTGACTAGAGGTGAAGGCTCTTTTCAGCAGAGCTCTGTGGAACTGATAATTCTGGTGCTAGATGAAGATGAGAGCTTGGTTACCACCTAACTTCAATCAATCAGTCAGATCTTATTACAGTCATAGACCAGCATACACCTAACTTCATTTGCAGCTGGCTGTATCTGTCTGATACATTGCTATCATTGAGCAATGGATGAAACAGAGTTTGTAATTCGCAACTTGCATTTTAACTTGAGTGCATTCAGCTTTAAGCACTTAGCAACTTAAGGGTAAAAAATGGAAAGGGGGAGAGACTTTGTCAGTCCCACCTGCCTTTAAATCCAATGTGTTTTGACTATACAGTTTTGGTTTATGCACTATCCCTGGAATGTAACACTTGTAAAAGTTGAGAATCTCCTATATTGTGTTAAGTTTTCAAAATAAAATATGGAAGTCTTAGGCCATATTTGTCTGTGCTATAAACTGTTCTTCATCATATTTGACAAGATGGCAGTAAAAGTTATAGGATGTATTAATAATGAATATATATAATTGTCCAGCTTCTAGACAGAGCCCAGGCAAAACAAATTGTAGTGTCCATTGCATCTAGTTAGCCAGACCTAAGGCAGCCAGCTCTGTGTCAAGGTAAGTGATTATTTCTGTTCTGTAACCCTTGTATCGTCTGTATTAGTACCATGCAGGAACAATCAAGAACGTTCGAGAAGCTACTGAGAGCTTTGCTTCTGATCCTATTTCGTACAGACCTGTTGCTGTTGCACTGGATACTAAGGGACCTGAAATTCGCACTGGACTCATCAAGGGGGTAAGTGTGTCACACTGTTTTGTTCTTTGTCTTATTACTCATTGTAACAGGTAAGATCACTCCCTTCCAATAAACATCAGTAATAGCCTCCCAGATGACAATGCTGCAGTTTCTTATAGTATTGTGCAGTCTGCTGCTCCATGCAAGGATCTGTAGTCAGGGGTACCAGTCAAACACTGGTAGTCAAAGGAGAATAGAACAGTTCATTTCTGACCCATCTAAAACCATAACACAACTGTATTTAGAACACAAAGTTGTTCATTCTAATTCAGGACAGGATGTAGTCTTCCCCACAAATCCAACAAGAGTCATATGCCAGAGGGCATTCAGTCTACCTAAGTCTTGGTGGAAGAAGGGAAACTTCTTCGTTTTCTGCCCTTTAGCTTCATGTTTCTGCTTCCAGATGTACAATGCCTGGTTTCAGTACTTGTTCTGAGATTATCGTTGAAAATTGAGGGAATTATAGGGTTATCCTAGTAAGTTTAGTCTTTCTGCTGCACTTGTTGCATTTAGACTGTGGCAGCAGTCAGGATGGCTTAATTCTGAGGGAAGGGGATATCCTCTGGCAATGCCAGTAACAGTTATTTGTCCTTCCAGAGTGGTACAGCAGAAGTGGAGCTCAAAAAAGGTGCAACTTTGAAAATGACCCTGGACAATGCCTTTATGGAGAAATGTGATGAGAACACACTTTGGGTGGACTACAAAAATCTCACCAAAGTTGTTGATGTTGGCAGCAAGATCTACGTGGATGATGGACTCATTTCCCTGAAAGTTAAGGAGAAAGGTGTGTTTGGAAGGCATTCCTGTTATTGTGGGCATACCTTAAATAGGAATACATATTTATGTGGTGATGCTACTTGCTATAACAGTGTAGTATTTAGAAACTGCATAAACGTATTTGCTTTCAGCATATTAGAAACTGATACGAAGAAACCAGGTGTCTGCATTGTGAGAGATTAGGAAAGAAATTGGGGGTAATTATTGTGGACACAAGAGGATAATTATTGTGGAAATGAGCTTATTTTGAGTTATAATGCTGATTCTTGGAACTCTGTGCAGGTGCTGATTTTGTCATCACTGAAGTTGAAAATGGTGGGCTGCTAGGCAGCAAGAAAGGTGTAAATCTGCCAGGTGCTGCAGTAGACCTTCCTGCTGTTTCTGAGAAGGACATCCAGGATCTAAAATTTGGTGTGGAGCAGGATGTAGACATGGTGTTTGCTTCCTTCATCCGAAAGGCAGCCGATGTTCATGCTGTCAGGAAGGTGCTGGGAGAAAAGGGAAAGAATATCAAGATCATTAGCAAGATAGAAAACCATGAGGGTGTACGTAGGTAAGTTGGTTATTAAATTTGTAACAACCCATTTGACATGTGACTTTTCTTGGAGCAGATATGTTTCTTGAAAAGTGAGCTGCATGCCCGGTTGCACCTCCTAAAATGGGTCAGTAGCTCTGTACTTGCTGTTGAGTGTTGACAGTACGCTGTGAAGGATGCATATTGTGAAATTCAGTGCTTAGAAGGATCCTCCTTGTGTGCTCAAATACAAGGTGGCAGATAATTCTTCGGAAGTGGGCTTGTCAGTGACTTCTTTCTCTTGATATCTGGGACAATGTGTGGTTTTGGTGTGCTACAGTATTCTGAAAACTCCATATAAGGTAGATAAGCAATTTGACTATGACCCCTTGCACCCGCATTCAGTATCACTTTCACAAGAAATAATTTTGTCTTTTGTGCATTTCAGGTTTGATGAGATCATGGAAGCTAGTGATGGCATCATGGTAGCCCGTGGTGATCTTGGTATTGAGATTCCTGCTGAAAAAGTCTTCCTTGCCCAGAAAATGATGATTGGTCGATGCAACAGGGCTGGCAAGCCAATCATCTGTGCTACTCAGGTACTCGAAGAAAAGTTGGCTCTGAAGGCCTGTCCTTCCTACACATATGGGCTATGTGAAACCTGAATTATTTTATGCTATTAAATGATACCTTCTGTCGCAATCAGTAAACATGGAAAATGTTAGTCTAAAATGCTGAGGTCGATTCCACATCTCTGATTGGATCCAACACTGTTTGAAGAAAGCTTCTTGAAAATCTTAATCAGAATTCTTACGGGTACTGCAACAGTCTAGTTGTAAAAATGGTTTAAAAATGGAGGCTATAGTAATTGGAGTAGTTACAAGTACTAAATAAATTACATAGTGCACCATTGTTTTCCCCTGCTGGTTTTGAACAAGTTGGTTGAAAAAAACTTAAATGCGTGGTTTAGGAAACATAACACATCATTTTGACAAGTCTTTGAGCAAGCAAAATCGAGATTTGATAGGTTTGCATTTTTGTTACAGAACATTCTGTGATTAAACATCATAGAAATTGTTCTTTTATAGAGTGTATATGAATACTATGAAATAATGTGAGTTTGGATACTGAAATAATTGCAAGCAAGAAAGCATGTTTCTATGGTGCTTTCATTGGAAGCAAGTCTCAAGGAGTTTGTTCTTCATTGTGCAAATAAGATTGCAGTTACTTTTAGTTTCTTAACATGTCTTTAACCTGGATTTTATAATGCCGGCATGGTTACCAAGGATTCTGCCTTGATGAACAGTACAGAAACAAAGCATTTCAGGTTTTATGTAAATAAGATGATTATCTTGCAGTGAAACCTATTAACTTCACCTTGTCTCATTAGATGTTGGAGAGCATGATTAAGAAACCACGGCCAACACGTGCAGAAGGGAGTGATGTAGCCAACGCTGTCCTGGATGGAGCTGACTGTATCATGCTTTCTGGAGAGACTGCCAAAGGAGACTACCCTCTGGAGGCTGTCCGCATGCAGCATCTTGTAAGTGATAACCATTCAATGTTAAAAGACAGTACCTGTATACCTAGAAATATTAGCACAGCTTATGCCCTGTTACCCAATTTCCCATCTGCTCAAATACCATCCAGGTCTGGTGGCTAGCTTAATGTGTTATATATGACGTGGCTGTTTTCTCACTATAGCTTGCTATATGCCATAGGTCCCTCAGGCTGCCATAGACTTCTTTAATGGCAGTGAAACACAAAGTGCTTTCTTGCACTGGCTGCAAGTATAAAACTTTTTATGCAAAGGCAAGTGGAACAAATTCTGAACTGTAGTGATTAGTTTTGACAGCCTTAAGTGTCTGAAATTGTCCAACTTAGTGTATATTATATTTTGAGACAACTTCAGATACTGTATCTGGGATTCCAATTATTGAATTGTATTGTTTTGATGAATTTGTTGTTTGATTTATTTATATGCTGCTGTTAGATATTATAGTGATTGCAATGCTTGTTTTTTTAATGCTACTGTGATTGTTGTGAGCTGCTTTGAGTTCAACATTTGTTGTTGGAAAAGCAGAATACAAATATTAAATCAAAGCCGAGACAAATCAGGAGTGGGCCTGGAGTATGTTCTCCATTTCACTCCTCATAGGTAAGAGAACTTGTGAATTGGGGACCAGTCTATATTTTAAGTTCTGTAAGTGGCATGGGGGAAAGAGTGTGAGCCCAAGGCCCACTCCCAATCTCATCCTGGAGGGAAAAGAACATCTGATTCACACTCTGTAATTCACCTTTGGGGTTGGCACAATTGTTTTATGCACAACGGTTGTGCCCTTGGAACAGCGTTTATTTTTTTCTAAGTGCATGACTGACACTTTTTACATGTTTAAACTGCCAGAAAACTCTCTGCTCTGCTTTTGGAATTCTCCAGTTTCTCATTGACAACATGGCACTTCGTGCCAGAATTAAAGTACTGATTGTGTTGACGGTCTGCTGTGAATTACAGCCTTGATAACCTACTAGTTTGAGAGCTGCAGGTCAGGTTAGCTAGCTTACTCCGAACAACTCTCACATAATAGTATGCTAACTACCTCTTTGCTTGGACTCATCCTTATGTAACCTGGTCCATACTGTCAAGCAGTTGAGGGAACCAGTTCCTGTGAGCTGGTGGCAGATAAGCATGGTTGTGTTGTAATGCAGCCTGATTTCTAGCCATTTTGAACTCCCTTTCATTGAAAGGGTTGACTTTACTGGCCTTTGGTATCTTGCCATTGTACTCATACCTTGCTATTTGCTTGAAGCATGACTGAAAAAATGGGGTTTCGTCAGTGCTGTTTAACAGCTACAAAAATTACGTATTAAAGTGTCTTCAAAATGCCTAGATAAACCTTCCTGTGGAGTTCAAATGTTCTTTAATTTTCATAACGGAGCTCACCACCATATTAGTGCATGCAGGATCCCTGGCTGACTGTAGTTCTTGATGCATTCTTCTGAAGTAGCTAAGAAAAAAGCTAAGAAAAACCCTGCAAGTTGAACCTGGAACATTGAAAAGATCAGAAGTTAAGTTCAAGACCCTGTTCCTGCTACTTGAAAAACTAATACATGCAATTAATAGATGTAAAGAATGCCTTACTTTTAAGAGCACATGCATATAATTCTACAACTTAACCCTCTCCCAATTATAAGCTAGATTTTAAACCTCATTTGAGAAATGTACAACAAGGTTGTAAGAGTGTTCCATGCAAGATTCAGCCAGTACACGCTGAAATGGATTTACTATTGGGTCGTTCTTGGCCTTCTCAAAGCAGTTTTGCCTTTTTATGTTACCCTAATGACATTCTTAAGTATTCTGGGGGATTTTAAATCAAAGTTTAGTGCAAACAAAATTCTTCCTTGATTCCCATTATGTTAGACATATAAATGTTGACATAGATGCCCTTCTGGGGAAAAAATAAGCAATACTTTAAATAGGAAATAAGAGGAGGGGGAAGAAAGATCAGTCAGCTTTGTGTTGTGCAAAGCATCTAACATAACTTAACTGCTAACCCAGAATCTTGTTCAAGACATGTTGCTCCTTGTTTTTAGTGCTTGGTATGTGTCTGAGATATAGTTCTTACAGATGGGGTTGTAAACCTGTTCCTGGACTGTACCTAGAACAATTTTCACCAACATGCCAGTTTTCTACGTGGGATGAATTTTGCTTCCGTATGGAGGAGCATTCAATCATGTGAGCCTCCATCTGCTGAAGACCTGGGTTTACCATTTCTTCTATGAAAACCAGGGCTTACTGTTGTGCCACACTGCATAAGATCCTAAGTAACATGCTGCAGCTATGCAACACTGAGTATTCTGTTGATTCTGGTCATCTAAATAATAATGGGTTCTCTGGCTTTGTACTTTCTTTCACGTTCACCTACTGCTCTTCTATAAAATATGCCTAATACTGCCTAAAGGGAGTTGAATGGGAATAAACTGCACTTCTTGCACAGGTGGTCCTAGGAAAGTATCCTTAATATGCCATGCTCTTAACTCCATCTGATCTTATCTAGACTGTCTAGATGCAATAATTCTTGCATAGACCTGTCTGCATGCTTTAAAAATGCTATGCAAGTCTCTGGCTGGTAAGGACACATGTAGCACCCTCTATTGAAATATGATGGCGTAAACCAGTATATGGTGGTAGAAAGCACATTGAATTCAGTGGTAATCCTGAGTAAGTGTACATAAGATTGTACGCTCAGTTTTCAATCCCAAGAAGAAAGTTCCATCTGAACCCACTGTGGAGCATATAAGCCAATAACCTGGACATAAGCAATTATCCTACATGTTGCCTGCCAGCTAACACTATTACTCGATTATACATGAGACTTGTATTGCCAAATGTGAGAGATTTTATTTCTAATTAAAGGGTAGGGTGGTGCAGTAAAAGAATGAAGCTGTCTGGAGTCAAACCATAGAAGTGCCTTAATAGAGGCATTAGCTACCAAAATCTGAGGATTATAAACTTTGACCCAGTTAATTGATGCAGTGATTCTGCTTCTATAATCTTAACAGTGCTCAGACCTGCAGAAGCAGAACTTTGAAGTCATGGTCTTAACAGTCGGGGGCTTCTGTCTGCTTTCTCTGCTTGACAGAATAAAGAAACATGTTTAAATTATGAGGCAGGATGCTTAAGTGCTTTTTCCTGATGACCACTAATCTGTGGTTATCTTACATTAGGCCTGTATCATGTCCAAATTATGGCTCTAGTGATTATTTTAACTTTGAAAACCAGGTAGTTGCACCACCCTGCCTTTAATCTTGCATGACTGACAAACAAGCAATTAACTCTCCTTGCAGATTAACTTTTATCATATCACTCTGGTGAATTTCTTTCCTTTCTATGTTGCTCCTCTTTTCTTCCCTCCCTCTTACTCTGGCCTACAGATTGCTCGCGAGGCTGAGGCTGCAATCTATCACCGCCAGCTGTTTGAAGAACTTTTCCGCCTCACTGCTAACAACAGGGACCCTCTTGATGCCATGGCTGTAGGCGCTGTGGAGGCCTCTTTTAAGTGCTTAGCTCCAGCTGTGATAGTTTTGACAGAGTCTGGCAGGTAGGGTTCAGAGTTAGGTACACATCTAGGATTTGTAAGGTAACTCATAATTCATTCTACAGTGGCTAGAGGTTTTAAAAGCAAGCAGCTGCTTCAGACCTATACTTGATAAAACCTGTTCCTCATACGGCATTCTTCCAAAACCAAACCATCAGTCTGCCTTCATCTTTCTATCAAAGCAGGATTTGAGGTAGGTAGAAGCAGAGCAAGAGTGACTGGCAGTTGCGCATGGATGAGTGTAACGATTTTGGCAGAATGGAGTGGGGGCGACATGGCAGATGTTGTCTTCAGAAGGGAAACGTGTGTGCCCAGTGGGTGCAGTCCAAATAGCATGTGCTAATTTTGCTGTTGTTGATGGTGCGCAAACAGTATTCTTGGCTGAAGTTCTCCATCAATCGCATTACTAGATGCTCATTTGGGTTTGCTGCTATAAGCACTCTGCCAAGTCCAGACCCCACCTTCACTCATGCCGCTAGTGATGACAGATGTGAATGTTGTCTTCCGAACGCGTGTTGCTCTTATAGATTGCTCGCGAAGCAGAGGCAGCCATCTTTCACAGGCAATTGTTTGAAGAGCTCCGACGGCTGGCCCCGCTGAATCGGGATCCCACTGAAGCTGCCGCTGTTGGCGCTGTTGAAGCTTCCTTCAAGTGTTGCAGTGGGGCCATTATCGTACTCACCAAGTCTGGAAGGTAGGAGGTGGAAGGTTCTGGCAGAAGTCGCATGGACTTCACGTGTTTAAGTAACACACAACATGAACATCTGTCTCAATCAAATACTGTATTTTTCATTGTCTGTGTGGAGGAGTGTCTGTTACATTGCTACTTACTTGGATTTACCCGGACCTGAGTAGTTAATTGCACATTAAACTTTTTTATATTGTCTTTCCAAAGGAAGTCTCAAGATAACTTAAAGCAATTAATTTAAAATAACTTTAAAAGCAACACCCAGATTCACTCCACTGCGAGAGCAGTTAATACTAAAACAAGATTGTAAAAACAAGAACAAAATCGAAGTGCAAACCTCAAATTATATGTAAAACCAACCAACCTGTAAGTTGTGGGCTTACTGTACTAGAATTTCTCTGGCACAAAGGAAAAAAGGGTGGGAAAATATATGTATGCCCCATTAATGTGGGGTTGGCACTAATTCTATATTTTTGACACATCTTGAATCGGTTGTCTTGTCAACGTGCAGATCAAAGGCTTTGTGCAATACTAAGTAGCTTCTGTTTTGCCTTTAAATACAGTGGTGCCCCGCAAGACGAATGCCTCGCAAGACGAAAAACTCGCTAGACGAAAGGGTTTTGCGGTTTTCGAGCTGCTTCGCAAGACGAATTTCCCTATGGGTTTGCTTCGCAAGACGAAAACGTCTTGCGTTTTTTGCAAGTTTGTTTTTCCTTTTTCTTAACGCCGTTAATAGAGTTGTGACTTGACTTCGAGGAGCAACTCATAGAACGCGGTGTGGTAGCCTTTTTTGAGGTTTTTGGTGATTTTTGAAGGTTTTCCAAAACTTTTCCGACACCGTGCTTCGCAAGAAGAAAAACTCGCTAGACGAAAAAACTCGCGGAACGAATTAATTTTGTCTTGCGAGGCACCACTGTATAAGGTTCCTCAGTGCCTGGCTGCCTGAATGTTTTGTAACTGAACCAGACAGCATGAGACTTTCACTTGAGTTCAGTTTTGTTCATCAACATACTGGAATTATATTGTAAATGTACGTGGCCATTTATCAGACCAGTAATATCTACATTAATTGAAGCTAGGATCAGTGCAGAGTTCTCATGCCAAATTATGTAAGGAGTAACAACTGCACAGAAACACCAGGTTGCTCAAGGAAGACATTTAGTTCTCGTAATTATAGGGTGTGAAAAGGGAAACAAAGTGCACACTGTGATAGGTCATTGTAGATGGTACTGCAGTGATATTTCTGCACAGATTCTCCTTGAAATTGGGTGGAGGTTTTAAGCTATGGTGCAGACATGCTCTGAGCTGTACCCTTAATATTATTACTTGTTTGTAAAGGGCTCTTTCGAGCCTCATGCCTGACCTTTCTGAAGAAATCTGAACTTGAAACAAAATCCAGAGCTAAATTAGACTTTCCTTCTAACAGTACTGCTTAGGTCTCCTTGAGCAACTTAAAGGTTTCCAATACTGTAAGTTTGCATTTGTGAATATCAAATAGTTTGTAAAGCAACAAACTGAAAAAGGTCTAAGACAGTTTTTCTGTTTAGATTTATTAGTCATGGTGCAGCAATGGGAATATGGGGCCTGCTGAAACCATAATGTACACATCTTAAATCTTGGGATACAACCTTTTGGTAGCTTTCTAAAGAAAAGTAAAAGCAATAGTACTTACTCCATTTCTGAGTAGTGTGGTTTAGTTACATTTCTTCCCTATTTCAAGCATTTACTACATGGTCCCTGTTATGTTCAAAATGATGATCCCTTAGCACACTGAGCTCTTAGAAGAACTGAGAAAATTTACAAAGTATCTTCACTGCTGCTTTTGTCACTCAGGAGGGAGCAAACAGCACAATTTTTTTGCTAAAATGTCTGGAGAATTGAATGAGCTTCCTGTTTGCTACTCACTTAACGAGTTTGTTTACTGTGCTGAAAATGCAAAGGCATCCTTCCTTTTATTATAACGGCATTTGTCAGGAGGCTACATTTGTCAGGAGGCTACAGTGCTAGATTATACTTGTTAAATATTGTCTGGGGGTATTTCCATATATCCAGAATTTGAGTATAATACCATATAATCTGGAGACTAGTGCGATGTAGACATCAAAAGTTAGTATATTAAGTCTCTGCTTGGAAGCTGCCTTGACTCCTTTGTACCCTGGATTCATTGTACACACTGAAATAGCATATCCCAGTGACCTTGATGAGATGACAGTTGAACCTGCCACATGTTCTCCTTTGTAGATCTGCTCACCTGGTGTCAAGGTACCGCCCACGTGCTCCCATCATTGCTGTGACCCGTAATGCTCAGGCCGCACGCCAGGCCCATCTGTACCGTGGTATTTTCCCCGTGCTGTGCAAAGAGCCAACCCATGATGCCTGGGCTGAGGATGTTGACCTCAGAGTTAATGTGGGCATGAAAGTTGGTAAGTTAGTAAATGTTGGTATCCTTTGCTCTCTCTGGAAGCTTTAAAAAATCATACAGTAATTTTATCTGGCAGCTGGAAATGAGTTTTGAACCAATATTTGACAGTTTGGTGTATTAGAACAATCTTACATGAGATTTTAGGGACGCGGGTGGCACTGTGGGTTAAACCACAGAGCCTAGGACTTGCCGATCAGAAGGTCGGCGGTTTGAATCCCCGCGACGGGGGGAGCTCCCGTTGCTCGGTCCCAGCTCCTGCCAACCTAGCAGTTTGAAAGCACATCAAAGTGCAAGTAGATAAATAGGTACCGTTCCGGCGGGAAGCTAAACGGCGTTTCCATTTGCTGCTCTGGTTCGCCAGAAGCGGCTTAGTCATGCTGGCCACATGACCCGGAAGCTGTCTGCAGACAAACGCCGGCTCCCTCGGCCTATAGAGCGAGATGAGCGCGCAGCCCCAGTCGTCCACGACTGGACCTAATGGTCAGGGGTCCCTTTACCTTTACCTTTACATGAGATTTTAGGCTATTATAACTTTAACTAGTTTCAGAATAACTTGGTCGTTTTGGGTTGTTAGGTGTTACCAAAACCATTGCTATGCAGTTCTATAATTTATATGTTTTAAGACCCATTTTCTCACTGCTTTCTTTTTCTTTCCAGGTAAAGCTCGTGGATTCTTCAAGACTGGTGATCTAGTCATAGTACTTACTGGATGGCGTCCTGGTTCCGGCTATACCAACACCATGCGTGTTGTGCCAGTTCCATAAAATCAGACCCAGCAATCTCAACCCTCCTTTTGTCTCACCACCTTCCCCTTGCATTAGATCAGCAAATTGCTTGCAATATTGTCTTTGCCTGTAGAGTGGATAGAGGCTGCCAAAAACCACCAAGTGCAGTAATTGGGGGAAGAGAGACTAAGTCTAGAAATACTTGAAATAGTTCTCTGATAATTAGAACCCCTCCCCAAACTCTCCTGCCTTATTTGTTGGGAACCAACGTAAAATTGTCTAGTGTGGCAACTTGGGCTGCCCAGTGTTTCTTCTTCGGCTCTCTGGAGTCCAAAGAAACAGGAGGGCCTTCATCCAACTAGTAAGGCATTTTATGCAGTGGCAATACCTGCCAAGTCCCTTTTCTGTAGTTCTGTACTGTCAGGTCTCCACGCAAACACTCCGGATTAGGATCTACATAGACCGACATAGCTCTCCTTTCTGTAACATCTCTAGTCTTGCTGTGTCCCTGTTGGGTATACAGGGGTTTTTGGTACACTGTAACCGGAACTCTACAACACAATCACTTGGATATCTTAACTGTACACTCCAATAGGTAGTGACAGAAAACATCACATGCTTGTCCCTTGAAGTTCCAGAAAACCTGGTTTTAAAAATTGATTGCTGTATCTTATTGCCAGCACAGCTAGAGAATAGCAATGGAAATGAGTGGCTACAGAGTTCTTTTGCTCCCAGAGTCTACTCAGGTACAGATTGCTTCAGGTTTGATATAAAAACTAAAAATGGCATATTTTGTGTATGGAACTTTAAAGGGCTGAGCAGTGCAGTAAAAAATTCACCTGATGCACTCCCCACATCTGAAGCTGCTTGTGCGCCTGTTGCAGTGTTGTGTTTTGTGTTCAAGTTGAGTCGTGTTTCCTGAGCACTATCCTCTATAAATCAGGATGATTTACCTACTGTAACAGGTTTATCGGGTTGTAGAGTACAACTTTGTACATCAATAAAGCAGAGCTCACATACCTATCTGTGCATTTTCTGTTTTTCTGGTTTAATGGTTCTTTTCAACTTGCCTATGTCCTGATGCCCTGAAACACTGGTGTTTAGAAAAAATAGCTGCTGTTCTTTCAATCTGGATTATCACCAAGGTGCCTGAGAATTGTAGCTTATTATAAGGCCTCGTGACAGATGCACATTACAGCAAAGGTGGCCCTCCACGTTTGGACAACTCCTCCCATCCTATGATGGCTATACTGACTAGGGTTTGGAGTTCCAACATATAAAGGGACACAGGTTGGCTCCTCATTATTCTGTCCAATCCAATAGGACATTGAAAACAGCTGCAGATGTTTCCAAACCTCTACCGGGGACAAAAATCTTTGCACACACCGCTGTGCTTTGATGTCCTGTGCAGCATTTTCCAGGAACACATTTAGTCTGCCATATCCTAGAGAGTACTGGCTGTTCAGTGGCCTTTTGCTGCTCCCTTCAAGGGGATCTAAAGCTTTGTACCAAATGTATAATTCTTAGTATTTCCTTAACAGTTAATTTTATTTATATACTACTTCACACAAAAGGCTTGTCAAAACGGTCTGGAAGCCAATAAAAATCAAGAAATTCATTGAAAGTACAAAATGAATGTATAATTTTTTTTTAGTTGGGCTGGAGTGCTAGCAAATGTTTGTGCCCCTGTACAGACATCTCCCCACTAAACACATGGATCAACTCTTGTGTGGTTGTGTATATGTCTGGTGCTGGGAAATAAATTCAAGCTGGGAAATGGTAAGGAGACCCAGGAGACAGAAGAGGACTTCAGTCACAGTGGAGGAAGCCTCAAAGAAGACCACAGAGGCACAGCAGGGCTTTCTTTAGTCTGCTCAGCCTAGCAGCGGATGCACATGGTAGCAAAATAAGTCTGTACAGCTAGTGAACTGTTTATTGAATTGCACCTTTAAAACTACTGGGAGAGAATAAAGTTATTGTGCTAATTTTAATACAATCCCTTTGCCACCCATAATACAAGCGTTTTCACATTCAACACATGATCCATGTTAGGACCAAGTGCTTTTGCACTGAATTTGAGAGCTTTTTTTTCCATACAAATAAGCGTCTTTAAGAACTGGCCTCTGGGAACTTTTTCAATAAGCTTACTGTCTCTAGTTACCTATAATAAATGAAGGAGGCCCAAATGCCCATCCTGTTAGAACAATCAGCAAACTCAGCAGGGGGCTGGCCCACTGTCCCTCAGACCTTGTGGGGGGCCGGACTATATTTTGGGAAGAAGAAAACACACTTAATCCCTATGCCCCACAAATAACCCAGAGCTGCATTTTAAATAAAAGCACACATTCTACTCATGTAAAAACACACTGATTCCCGGATCCAGCCCCCGGGCCTTAGTTTGCCTACCCATGTGGTAGAACCTAGGAAGCCCAGGATTTCAGAAAGGGAGTGTTACCTGCAGTTTGAACTTCTTGAACCACTGAGCTATAGCCCTTCTCTGAAATTCCTGCCGCTTTGAATTCAAAGCTTCTACTACTGCTAGTGGGTGCAGATTTTATATAGTGTCCCGCCCCAAATTTCCTTAATCCTAAAAGTGCATCAAACTTAGGCCATTTTACAGTTAAGCTGGAAGCAGTTGGTCTAGACACTACATTGTCACTGTTAGGAATTTTTGTATTTCACTGGGTGCACTTACTAAATCATCCACTAGAGGGGGAGCTTTCTCCAGAATTTCTAGTAATTATTTTCCTGCAAAAGGAAGCTTAGATTGAGAAACTGATGGCCTAGATTCAGAACTGAACTTTTTTCTCATAACTGGCAAATTACTGATGCATCAACATATGCAGAATAATCAAATCAGACTCCAAAGGTAAAAGCACTGGTTAGGTGACCTTGACAGAACTTTTTCCCCTAGAGAAAACAAAACAAAATGACTCCAAAGAACTCTCCTTTTGCGTCCTAGCTGAACGGCAAGTTGTGCAGAAGACTGATGGTTTGTTATGAATCAAGCCGCTCCTGTTTAGCCAAACTGATGATAGGAGGAACAATCTGCACTGCTCCTGCAAAGGCACAGTCATGTCAAAAGTCATTTTTGACAAGAGTTTCTTCTCTGCTTCTCTCCCCACCCCATCCCAAAAGCCCCCCACCCCTCTTAGTGTGTGGAAGCTGTGTAACTTGCAGTGCAGCCTGAGGTACCTGCAAAGCAGAAAATAGTTCTCATAAAAAAGTCGTATTTGACAGGTCTGAGAGGCCTGTCAAGTTAACAGATCCATAGCCCGCCTCCCCTTATGTGCGTGTTTTAGTCAGTTGCAACACCTGAATAGGTGACAGCCCTAATTGTATTAAGGCAGGACACTTGAATGCGGGTGGTGCTGTTGCCAGTTCGAATCTGCGACGGGGTGAGCTTCCTTTGCTCTGTCCCAGCTCCTGCCAATTTAGCAGTTGGAAAGCATACCAGCACAAGTAGATAAATAGATCTATCGCTGTAGCAGGAAGGTAAACTTTCTGTGTGCTGTGGCTTCCCATCACTGTGTGTGTCCTGTTGCACTAGAAGTTGTTTAGTCCTGCTGGCCACATAACCTGGAAAAGCTGTCTGCAGTCAAATGCTGACTTCCTCAGCAGAGATGAGCATTGCACCCCATAGATTTGACTGGACTTAACCATCCAGGGGTCCTTTGCCTTTTTACTGTAATCTTATTTTATACTATGAGCTCATTCAGGATGATTTCTCTGCTGTGGAATTTGATCAGAATAGGAATAAGAAAAAATTGTGTTCATGTGGTGCTTATTGGGGATACCTTTTCCCACTTCTGGCCAGCCAGGATATTATATTATTATTATTATTATTATTATTATTATTATTATTATTATTATCATTATTATTAAAAAGTGAGCAAGCTTTTGTGTTCTCCAGAACTCTTTAGCCTTTAAGACGCAGTGTGTAAACCTAAACCTAACAGGCTAGGTTCCCCCAGGTCCTGTGCAGGTTTATGGACACACCTAGAGAGACTGGAATGAAGTAACTGCAGTGGAACCTCGGGTTGCAAACATGATCCGTGCAGGAGGCACGTTCGCAACCCGCAGCACCGCATCTACGCACGTGTGGGTTGCAATTTGGCACTTCTGCACATGTACAAAGTGCGATTTAGTGCTTCTGCACATGCACGAGCGCCGAAACACAGAAGTATCCCGTTCCGGTACTTCTGGATTCAACGCGGTGCGCAACCCGAAATTGCGTAACCTGAAGCATCTGTAACCCAAGGTACCACTATGATTGGTTGGTTCCTTAGACCTGTCTTCTCATTTGACTAACCCAAAGATATTACTGAGGGGGGCTGGGTGAGCAGCTAAGTTCTGGATATTAGCTTTTGCATCAGCAGCTCTTCAGTCCTGGTCTGTGGAAATCTGGTCTGATTTGCTTATCAGCCTTTCACAATGTGCTTGTCCCCCTTTGCAAATGCACCAGGGTGGCACATGTGGCTCTGTCAATGTGAAAACCTTCCATCTGGTCCCATAAGGGCAGTGTGCATTTGCAGTCTGGCACGTAAGAGACTTGGGACATTCAGAAGGAATAATGTATTCAATCTCTGGCTTTAAGTGTTTATCCTGAATCTCTCCTTGTAAGTTCTGGATAGCTTTGTGGCCAGGACTTAATGCAGTCAAAGGTTCTGTGATATTATTTGTCAGGTGCCACCAATATTAGCAGAACGAGGCAAGCAGTTACCAGATTTGCAGTCTTCTCCATCATCTTAGGCTTTGCTTCCTATATATCAGTTTCAGGCTGCCACCACACAAGCCATAATGAAGGTTCTATCATGCCATGTTACAATCCTGGATTTGCATGAAGTCAAGAGTGCAGTCTCCACTGAAGGATCTGTAGTGCCTTGCCATCAATCACAACCCTGGATTTGAATGAAGACACAGTTGGAGGAAGAGAGAGAGCAGGTTACAGAAGAGCAGCGGTCATGACATGAAAGGGAAGGGCCCTTGAATAGAAAGTAGTGGGGGAGATCTGAATTGATTGGGGAGGGAGGGTTATT